AAACGTGCAGGTTGAAAATGATTGACACCTCTTTAAAAAAGAAGAGGCAACACAACTACTTGTTCAAAAAAAAATAAAGAAACGCCACTCTTCGAATTTCAAAACCCGGATTTCCTGCGTAAAATCCATCAACATTTTTTTCAGACGCAGTTTTCAGCTTTCGGCTATCACGTGCAACTTTGCCAGAGATCACTGACAAGGTGAAACGTGTGGAGTCCATCATACTCCATCTACCCGACTGTTGGCCGACAAAGCATGGGAGACAAGGCACATCCACCCTGCCACTTGCTGTTGGGAGCTCACCATATAATTCGAGTTTCATCCTCTAGCAAGACACACATCCACCCTGACTCTTCTTCCTTGCCGAAGGCATCTGCAACCAAAACTCAATTTTTCTGCCTCCCTGGAAACGCTTCCTCAGCCAAATCACATCAAAGCAAAGGTATCTCATATCACTGGGGTTGAAAGCAAGAGTATCTCATAGCATGCTTTCACCCTATCCTTTTCTTTGTCCTCCCTCTTCACTACTATGACAAGGATAAAGAAAGCAATATGTCGGAACCTCCACTCAAGCTCCTGGTAAGGAACCGACTGCTTGGAATCTTTCCTGATTGCTCACCTAGCACTGCTCTCGAAGTACCCATTATCTCAACATCTTATACTTCTAGAGAAGATACCACATCGGCCAGGAGAACAGAAGAGGCGAATGAAAATGATGCATCGAAGCATGTGGAGACAAGCTCAACAAACACATATGTTGATCATCCGCTACTTCTTCAAAAGCAAAAGTATCTCATATCATCGGGGTTGAAAGCAAAGGTATCTCATATCATGCTTTTTCCCTATCATTTCCTTTGCCCTTGTTCTTGCTTGCAGAACAAGGAGAAAGGAAGCAATCAGTCGGAACCTGAAATTAAACGTCCGATCAGGAACTGATTGCCAGGAACCTTTGCCTGGTTGCTCACCTAGCGTTGCTCTCGGGTACTCATCTTCAACTGTTGACGGATCTCGAGTTTCCTCAGCAAATATTTCAAAACAGTTGATATGGTGATGGCTCTTTACACTGAAGCTGCCAACCACGGATGAGTGGCTGAAAAGTGATGCTTTGAAGGACCATTTAAAGGCAAAAGGTTGCTGCCACTGCTGCCAGGTATTAAAGAACTTCCTACGGGTAATTTAAGAACTAATGGCCTGTGGAAAGTCAATAAGCGCAATTGTCTTGTGGAAAGTCAACAATTGGAGGAAACCAAAAAAAAAAAAAAAAAAAAAAAGTCCTCCGAACCAGTTCAAGATTAAAGCTGTGGAAAGTCAACAATTGGAAGAAACCAAAAAAATCCTCCGAACCAGTTCAAGATCAAAGCTGTGGAAAGTCAATAAGCGCAACAAAATACGTGCCGATTCACCCACTACCAAAGAAAAATATCATCTACCACATGAAGCTCCTTGTGGTCCAATTTCAACCTTCAAGATCAAGCCTCGACGGCCCTTGAAGAAATTTCAAACAAAAGTTCAAGAACAAGCCTCAACGGCCCTTGAAGAAATCTCCAGCCCAATTCAAGATCAAGCCTCGAATGGCCCTTGGATCAACATCTACAATAAGGGACTTCAAAACGCATCTTCTACACGTGACAAGCACATGTATACGACGCGCCTTGAAGTGGGGGCATTTGTAGACATCGAAATTTCGGTAAAATAAATGTTGATCAAAAATTAAAATTTCAATGTTTATGTGTCACATAAATTTTACACATAGCATGTGACTAAACGAAAAATCAAAATAAATCGGAAAAGTCATCAAACAGGACACGTGTCAACACCTGGCAGAGATGATTTATTCCATCTAATTATTTAAATCCAAAAAATCAAGTTTTGGAATTCTATAAATAGAAGGCCAAAGAATTCATTTGGGGGACACCAGTTCATAACCAATTCACTTCATATCAAAACCTTGAAGCTTTGAAACTCAAAAGCTCCCAAGCAAATCCCGAAGGATCAAGAGAGCTCTCTTCGTTCTTCGTCAAATCCTCATTCAAGATCAAGCCCCAACGGCCCTTGAAGAACTTCCACTGATTCAAGATCAAGCCCCGACGGCCCTTGAAGAAAGTGTTCATCGTTCATCATTCGTTCATCCCTAGATCAAGCCCCGACGGCTCTTTGGATCCACGACGTCAACAAATCTGCACAACTGTTTATCCCAAGATCAAGCCCCGACGGCCCTTTGGATCAACAACATCAAATCTACCCATTGCAAAGATAGAATCAGAGGCTAAATTTGTAGAAGAGATTGTAACCCCTAAATCATCAATACAAATATTATTTTGTACACGTGTTTCTTGTCTCGTTCATCGCAGGAAAATCCCGTGTTCACAATGTCATCTATTCTCCTTTTCTTCTCTTTATCCTTCATGCTGCCTACAAGATAAGGAGAATGAGAACAATCAGCTAGAACTCGAAATCAAACTTTTGATCTTGGACTGATTGCTTGGAGCTCTGATTGCTTACCTTGTCTGTCACCTATTTCAGCAGATCCCCTAGCTCGACAACTTGGGGGACTCCTACTACATGGTTTGTATTGCGCTTGACCAAGCCTGAAACTACAAGTAAGTTTCAAGTGAAATTGATACATTACCTTGTGCATCTCCACCAGTTAAAGATACCACCCCTGGACGGAGGAAGAGTACATCCAGAGAAGATGCCACATCTACCTATAAGACAGATAAGGCAAGTGAAGACGATACCACACTTCGGTACTTAGAAGTTTCATGATTACTCATCGGCTTGGATCTTGCAAGTCCCCAACCGAGGAGCTTCCCCTCCAACCAGGAGGCCAATCACAGAGCGACACGTGTCGACATCAGAAGCCAATCATAGCGCGACACGTGTCAATATCGGAAGCCAATCACAACACGATACGTGTCAATGTCAGAACAAGGCTAGAAACTCTCTTCTATAAAAAGAGATCATTCTCCCAAAATATTTCCTAATGTCATTTGTACTAAATCATTCACTTGTACCCACTAAAGGAGAGCTTGAACCTATGTACTTATGTAAACCTTTCACAATTAATGAGAACTCCTCTACTTCGTGGACGTAGCCAATCTGGGTGAACAACGTACATCTTGTGTTTGCTCTCTTGTCTCTATCCTTTTACATACTTATCCACACTAATGACCGGAGCAATCTAGCGAAGGTCACAAACTTAATACTTTTTGTTGTACCAAAGTCCTCACTGATTTTGTGCATCAACAATCCTTAAGTCCTTACCTTTTTGCATTGGTAATAGATGAGTTAACAGGACATATTCAAGATGTTATTCCTTGGTGTATGCTTTACGCAAACAATATAGGGTTGATAGATGAAACTCAGGAAGGGGTAAATGCGAAACTTAACCTTTGGAGAGAAGTGTTGGAATCTAAAGGTCTTCGCCTAAGCCGATCAAAGACAGAATATATGGAATACAAGCGGGATGGATGAAGTGGAAGAGTGCATCCAGCGTGTTATGTGACCGTCGTATGCCACTGAAGCTCAAGGGAAATTTTTATAGGACGGCAATAAGGTCGGCGATGCTGTATGGCACAGAATGTTGGGCAGTGAAGCATCAACATGTACACAAAATGGGTGTAGCGGAGATGAGGATGATTCGTTGGAGGTGTGGGCTCACGAGAAAGGATAAGATTAGGAATGAGTGGGTTGGACATGTCCAAAGAAGGCCTACTGACGCTCCAGTTCGAAGATGTGACTACGGGACAGAGGTTCAGGGCCGAAGGGGTAGAGGAAGACCTAAGAAAACTTTGGAAGAAACCTTAAGAAAAGACTTAGAGTACTTGAATCTAACGGAGGACATGACACAAAACCGAGCGCAATGACGTTCTAAGATTCACATAGCCGACCCCACTTAGTGAGAAAAGGCTTTGTTGTTGTTGTTGTTGTTGGAATGCTTAACAAGAAGGAACAATAAGACGACGACAGGGACTGAGAATGTGTAACGAATAACAGCTCTACAAATTCAACCGAACAGCAAGCAAGATCTTCCTCCAAACCCTAATCTAAATTCCTACTCACATTTCACAAAAAAAAAAAAAAAAAAAAAAAAAAAAAAAAAAGAAGAAATTAGGGTCCAATATATCCATCCATGAGATGAGAATTCTAGAGGGAAAGAAGAAAAATGTGGCAAAATTGAAAGGACTAGGCCATACATTAATATGTTGCAGGTTCCAAGTAGAACTGTTCTATAATGCACTTAGTTACTTCATTTCCGCGAACTGCAACATCGAAAATGGTTGAACTTGAGCATTGACAGAAAAAGTTGTGACCAAACATAAACATTTACAGTCTCCACCGAGAAATATGCTAAGGCTCGAAAACACCATGAACCCATCATATTTCCAAGAGCTCAAGGAGAAGATACGGATGATCTTTGATTTCTTCCCCAAGACTTGAGCAAATTGTTTTGAAGTCATTCAAAGTTACGACACAGGTTTTGTACAACGCCACACACATATTTTAGTTTTATCTAATTCCGAAACTCTAGAAGTCATATTTTCTACATTGTTTCGCATACATTAACAACATAGATGATTTTCTCTACCAGTGGTTTTAGTTTCATGATCCAATGGTACTGCTTAGGGATTCTTTCAATGAAATTATGTTTGTTAAAGGAAGCTGCTTTATTTTGGGCACCAGAGCAAGTCAACAAGCAATTAGGTAGAGGGAGAAAAGGTGTGGTTGTGCATTTGAATTACATGAAGATATGGCTACTAAATACTACTTAGGTTACAATGAAATTATATATTGCCTAGCCCCCAATGGGCGAGTAACAAATCACCTTGTGAAATCAGAAAATGAATTTTGAAATTTAAAAATCAGGAAATTCAGTACAGTACTAATTATCTGCAACGAGGAGTGAGATAATGGTTTACTGAAATGAATTCCGAGAAAAGCATTTTACCCTTCCAAGCACTGTTTGAAGAAACCAGATGATTTAATAGGCACAAGACGATCAGTCATATTTCAATCTTTTGTAAACCGATTCCTTAGTAGAGATTGATGAGCTTCCACTTGATCCCGCACCATCAAAATGTTCGGTTGTTTGCTTCATATGGATGGCACTCTCTGCATTTGCTGATTCGGGGAGAGCACAATGAGGGTCTTCCATAGGCTCATAAAGAGAAATGCTATTGTTGGAGTTGTTGTGGTCTTCTGCTTTCACCAAGCGCACCCCACACTTCTTCAGCTTCAAGCATTTGTTGGTTTCTGGCCCCGAACAAAAGGTCTTGAATGAAAACTCAATTTGATGGAAACCTCCCTTCCAATAATTCCTAGGATCGTAGCCTTTAAAAGAAAGATAGAGTAACCAAAGGTGATCTGACTGAATTTGGCCGGCTTTATGATAATAAACCCCTTTCACAAGCAAAGACGTTTTGCCACTCATCGATCCAGTTACTGTCGAAAGACATTTAATTCCACATGCATGACATTCTAAAGAATCAATTTCAAGGGCAGCTGGGCTTTCTTGTGGTGCAAAAACAGCACATAAAGCAAATCCCTTCAACTTGCTTCTAGTTGGATGTACATCATCAGGCAGCGTCACAACTATTGAATCTCCCGCTCTTTGAATATTGAACCACTCTGGCATTTCACTTCCAGGAGTCACAATATTGAAACTGTGAATGACCAAAGGAGGGGTTCCCTGTAGCATATATAGGAACAATTATATCAGGAAAAACAACTTTTAGAAAGATAAATGGAGAGCGAGCGAGCGAGACAGTACCTGAAGGAATTGCTGTAACATCTAAAATATCATGTTATTCCTCGCTTCATTGCCAACCAATCTGTAGCAATTAACTGCTCTGAAAAAAAACCACCTTAATCTACTTATATTTGGTGGATGCGGCAGCACTTTTAAGCAAGTACAATCTTCAGTTGTTACAGTTAATTCTTCATTTGATGGGAGGTCTGGTAATTCTTGAAGACTTTTGCAACTGCCTAAGTTCAAAAACTTGAGACTATCAAGCCACCTAATGCTTGCAGGAAGGCTAACGAAGTCATTACCCCGAAGAACCAAGTCCTCTAAAGAGGGCAAACAACCGATGTCATCTGGGATTGCTCCTTCACAAAGATTGCAGTCACTTAGATCTAATTTACTCAAAGAATACAAATAATCTAAAGAAGTCAAAACGAAGCCCATGGGGTCAGGGTTTTTTGTTGGAAATAAGCCAAAATGGAGGAACGAATGCCATGATTTAAGCGGTGGACCTTTACATCCACGTAGAGATAGTACTTTGAGACTCTTCATAAGAAAGAGAGATGACGGTGAATCTCTTATTGCAGTTCCACTCAAATCAAGCTCCTCCAAACACTCAATTTTCTCCCAGTTTTCCGGAATTGTCTCAAGTTTTGAGCATCCGGACAAGTTGAGAATTTTAAGAGACTTCAGACTACAAATGACAGTAGGAAGACATAACAGACTTTTACAATCTTTGAGATCCAACGAAATCAGCCCAATTAGATGATCAATCGAAGAAGGTACATCCTGAATAGCAGTCCCATCTAAAGAAAGAGTTGATAACTTTTTCATGTTTCCCACAAATTCAGGAACCCTTTTCAGTTTTGAGCAGCCAGAAAGAACAAGAACTTCAAGAGATTCCATTTCTAGAGCACTTGGAAGACTCTTAATACCATTACAGTTTCTAAAATTCAAAATTTTAAGCCTTTTAAGAACTGCAATGGATGGGTGAATCTCAACTAAATTCGTACAAGATTCAAGCACCAGCCTCTCAAGATTCTGAATACCTGTAAAATCTGGGGTCGCGGTCAAGTTTTGAGAGTGACTAAGATCGATATTTTTCAAGCAGGACATGTTCTGTAGAAAATATAAAAAATGACACAATCATTAGCCGGCAAGATGTATATAAATAAACAAAAAACATAAAATGTATAACGTCTTTTATTCAATTCTCTAACCTTCATTCCACTCCAAAGCCGATCAATTTTGCTATGATGCAAACTAAGTTCAGAAAGTTCGTCCGGTTGAAAATTTTGAGGGAGAGATTCTGAAGGATACCAACTCCAGTCGATAAATCTCAAGGCGTTGGAAAGATATTTGGGGCCGACAGAAAGGCTCAAATTATGAAGTTGGAGAAACTTTAGATTACATATCTTAGAAAAGCTTTCAGGATTCCACTGAGCCTGTTCTAATTCAGGCAAGCGTAAGGCAATGCCTTCGATTGCTTCTGTTCCCTAATAAACAAGAAGAAATGTTAATTTCATAAGCAAGTTTTATACATATTCAAATTAATTTGGCTGCTATACAGAACGCATATTTCTCTTACTTACCGTATCCTTCATGAATATGTGAAAGATTTCATTATGAAGCCACAACCTACTACGTCGACCAGGCTCTTGATACGATTCTTGTCGAACAATTTCCCATCCCATTTCTTGTGTCAAATCATGCATCATCACATACCCGTCCAAAATACTTAAAAGAGATTTCTCAATGAGAACATCTATCACAATACGAGCACAAAAGCCACAATTTTCCAGTATTTCAATTACTCGCTCCTTGTCATTCCCAGTATCAAAACATGCAACATCAAGAAAAACTTTCTTCTCCATCTCATCAAGGCCATCATAGCTTATTTTCAGAGTCTCAAAAATTACTGCGTTAGGAGCTTTCTTTACTTTATCCAACGCACTATTCCAAGCATCTTGGCCTCTTTTATACAAAGAAGATCCCAAAATCTTAAGTGCTAATGGATGGCCTCCAGCATAATCTACAAAACACTTCGATAGTTCCACATAATCATCATCTGGCTGATCTGTTTTGAAGGCTTTCAAACTAAAGAGATGAAGAGATTGATCATCATTTAGTCCCAAAACCTCATATCTTTTATCTATACCATGCTCGATTAACAAACGCTCATTTCTTGTTGTAACAATGATTCTGCTTCCTGGACCAAACCAATCCGTCTTTCCCGCCAATATTTCTAGTTGGTTTAGTTCATCAACATCATCAAGAATGAGAAGAACCTTTTTGTTAGATAAAAGGTTCTTTGTCATAGCACTTCCACTATAAACATCCCAAACTTGTGTAGTTTTTTCCTTCAAAATCAGGGAAAGAAGTTGATCTTGTAGATGAGCTAAACCAGATTTCGAAGAACGCTCTCTGATATTAGCAAGAAAGCTAATAACTTGAAACTTGTTGATGCACAAAATCAGCGAAGACTTTGGTACAACAGAAAGTGTCAGGTTTTGTGACCTTCGCTTGGTTGCTTCGGTCACTAGTGAGGATAAGTACGTAAATGAATAGAGACAGAGAAGCAAACACAGGATGTACGTGGTTCACCCAGATTGGCTACGTCCACGGAGTAGAGGAGTTCTTATTAGTAGTGAAGGGCTTACACAAGTACAAAGGATCAAGCTCTCAATTTAGTGAGTTCTTGTGAATGATTTAACACAAATGGCATTAGGCAATATTGTGGGGGAATGACCCCTATTTATAGAAAAACTTGTAGCTTTGTCACATTGACATGTGTCATGTTATGATTGGTTCTTGATGTCGACACGTGCTGCGCTCTGATTGGCTTCTAATCTTGACACATGTCGAGTAGTGATTGGCCTCCTGGTCGGAGGGGAACTCTTCTGGGTCCTTGACAGTATATAGCGTTGGCCGGTGCTCGGTAGTTTCGGGATTGGTCAAGTATGGTACAAACAGTGCTCCCCTAAGTTCCCGAGTGAGGGAAACTCCTCGGTTGGGGACTTGCAAGATCCAATCCCTTGAGTAATCACGAAACTTCTAAGTACCGAAGTGTGGTATGATCTTCATCTGCCCTTCTCTGGAAGTACCTTTCCTCCATCCGGGAATGGTGTATTTAGCTGATGTTGACGCACAAGGTAATGTATCAATTTCACTTGAAGCTTAGTTGTAGTTTCGGGCTTAGTCAAGTGTGATACAAACCCTATAGTAGGAGTCCCCCAAGTCGCCGAGCTAGGAGATCTGCCGAAAGAGGTGACAGACAAGGTAAGTAGTCAAACTTCCAAGTAAGCAACCCAGGATCAGAGGTTTGACTTCGGCTTCCGGTTGATTGTTCTCCTTCTCCTTGTCTCTCATTCAACTGCCAGGATAAGGAAAAGCAAATGGATAAGAGATGATATGAGATACTTTTGCTTTTGAAGAAGTAACTTTCCACAGGCTTATTCTTGAACTGTGCTGGAGGGTTTTCTGGTGCCCTTCAGAGTATAAGGCCGACTCAAAAATTTTGAGGGTCAAAACAAGTCCATCAAATCTAGAGTACGTTCGACCTTGATGATATGGGATACTTTTGCTGTTGACGGAATAATGAATGTGGTATGGAAAGGTGTCGTGCTGTAGTGATCTGTTTCAGCTCACCGTTGAACCTTCTGCTTCAATCTTTTGCATGGCAGAAGTGGTGTGCAACCTTTGCATTTAAATGGTCCTTCAGAACATTCCTTCATAGTGACTCATCCACGCTTGGCAGCTTCAGTGTAAAGAGCCAATATCTGATCAACTGTCATGAGGTATTTGCCGGTGGAATTCGTGACCTTGACAGCAGTTGAGGATGAGTACTCGAGAGCAATGCTAAGTAAGCAACCAGGCAAAGGCTCCAGGCAGTCAGTTCCAAATTGGAGGTTTGATTTCAGGTTCCGACTGACTGCTCTCTTTCTCCTTGTCCTGCAGGTGTGGACAAGGACAAAGACAAAGATAGGGAGAAAGCATGATATGGGATACTCTTGCTTTCGACCCTGATGATATGAGATACTCTTGTTCTTGGTGTGGCTTATTTGCTGAGGTATTATCGGGGGGAAATAAAGCTGAGTATTTCGAGAGGTTTATGTTGAGGGTGCCTTTTCGAATGCGAGAAAGGGTTGAGCATTTTTGCAGGTTTGCCTGTCCGTTGAGGAGGGAGGTCAATGTATATAGGGATTTCCCAATAACAAGTAGTAATGCTATTCCTTTACCCTTCTTGGTCACACAGCAATGTAGTGGGAGCTGCCAGCTTCACGTGTTTTAATTTTGTCAGAGCACTTTGAAAAAGTGGTATGTGGTATCTGGAAAGCTGATATTACGTGTGAAGATTACAGACAAGCTTTATCTAAGGAAATCTGGCTCTCGAAGTTCTGAGAGTTGTGCCTCTTCGGTTTTTCGAACAAGCAATCCCGTCGAGGATCTGACTCTCGAGATTCGGAAAGCGGTGCTACTTCCGGTTTTTTGAGAAAGTAATTATGTTGGGAGTCTTTTCTCGAATGTGAGTAAAGGTTGGACGTTCTTGCCAACCTGTCTTGCCGCAAAACACGGAGGTCGACACACATAGGGACTTTCCAGTTGTCAAGCAGTGGTGCTGTTCCTTTACCCTTATGGGTAATAGTAGGGTAGCTGGAACTTCGAAATTCTCGTGCCTAAACTTTGTCAGAGATCTTTGACAAAGTTATATGTGGTACCCGAGGAGTTGATGGTGCATATGGAGAGCGGTGATTGAACAGTAAGATTCACGTGCTTTCTACTTCACCAGAAATCTTCGACAGATTGCCCGTAATTTCCGCAAAGCTGATTGTGCATGTGACAGGTGCTGACGAGGCTGAAAAAGCAGGTGCTTCTTCGATTTCTGAGATCGGCCCTCGTGGTCTCTGAGCAGCCCAGCTTTTGAGAAAGCAAACGCCTCTTCGATTTCTGAGATCGGCCCTCGTGGTCTCTGAGCAGCCCAGCTTTTGAGAAAGCAAACGCCTCTTCGATTTCTGAGATCGGCCCTCGTGGTCTCTGAGCAGCCCAACTTTTGAGAAAGCAAACGCCTCTTCGATTTCTGAAGCTCCGTCGAGTGCAGATTTTTATAGAGGCTGGCATTAAGTTCCACAGCACACTTGAATCTCTACCAGTAGAAGCTCATTTCTTGCACTTCTAAGATCTTGATTTGTCTGACCTCTTCCTTCTTCAACACATTTGAAAATGTCTGGACCCTCCGACCGTCGTTTTGACTTGAACCTTGGAGAAGAGACAGCCACGCCTTCTCCAGACAACATATGGCGCCCATCCTTCATATCCCCTACTGGTCCTCTTACCGTTGGGGATTCTGTGATGAAGAATGATATGACCGCTGCAGTGGTGGCCAGGAACCTTCTCACTCCCAAAGATAACAGACTACTTTCCAAACGGTCTGATGAGTTGGCTGTTAAGGACTCTCTGGCTCTTAGTGTTCAGTGTGCAGGTTCTGTGTCTAATATGGCCCAACGCCTATTTGCTAGAACCCGCCAAGTTGAATCATTGGCTGCTGAAGTGATGAGTCTCAAACAGGAGATTAGAGGGCTCAAGCATGAGAATAAGCAGTTGCACCGGCTCGCCCATGACTATGCTACAAACATGAAGAGGAAGCTTGACCAGATGAAGGAATCTGATGGTAAGGTTTTACTTGATCATCAGCGGTTTGTGGGTTTGTTCCAAAGGCATTTATTGCCTTCGTCCTCTGGGGCTGTACCTGGTAATGAAGCTTCAAATGATGAACCTCCAATGCCTCCTCCTTCTGGGGTTTTGTCAAGTACTGAGGCTCCGGATAACCACCCTCCGGTGCTTTCTCTTTCTGGGGCTCTACCGACTGCTGAGACTTCCCCTAAGCAACCTTTGTGAAGGCTCCCTTTTGTTTGTTTATTTTGACTCATGTATATGTACATATTTGTGGCTTATCGAAAATATTAATAAATAAGCTTTGCTTCATTTCAACATATTGTGTTAAATACACCAAAGCCTTCTTCATAAAGTTCTTTGAATTTTTGCTTTTGTTGAAACCTGTATTGTTGAAGCTTTGTGAGTGAAGCATGTAGTTTGAGGTAGTGTTCCCTTAATTTCCCGAGTGAGGAAAACTTCTCGGTTGGAGACTTGAAAAATCCAAGTCACTGAGTGGTTGTGAGACTGCCGAGTATTAAGGTGCAGTAGCATATGGTGGGAGTCCCCCAAGTCTTCAGGCGAAGAGAGTTGCCGAATGAGGTGTCTCGCTTGTTACTAATTTGTCAAAGTAACGAATCCTTGTTTCGATGTCACACATTCGCATATGCCTTGTCTAAAAATATTTCCAACTTTTGTGTGTTTGATGCTGCATGCTATTGACTAGACAAGATCAAGTGCAATTAGTAGCTTTTCTCTCTTTTTCATCTTTTCTTTGGTGGAATTGCTTTTCGTTTCCACTAATCAGCCTGAGTGGATGCAAGATAACACCATTTCTCTATAGCTCAGATCGCAAAGTTGTCTTCATGAAAGTTGTTCCTTATCTTGTGAACTACAACATATCCAAATTTGAGATCCATCGGAGTAGTACAACTCCAGAAATTCAGGTATGATGAGTAACTGTTCATCATCAATTTTTGTTAACTTAACCCGTCAGACTTGTTGTGAGCTTCTAAACTCCATTTTTTCTTGTTTCAGATCTCAACATACTTTCTTCATCGAAGTTGTTCCTTAACTTGTGAACTACAACATATCCAAATTTGAGGTCCCTCGGAGCAGTATAACTCCAGAAATCCAGGTATGATGAGTGACTGTTTATCATCATTTGTCTGTCAACCCGTCAGATTTGTTGTGAGCTTTGAAACTCTATTTTTCTCTTGCTCAGATCAGCATGCTTTCTTCATTGAAGTTGTTCCTCAGCTTGTGAACTACAACATATCCAAATTTGAGATCCCTCGGAGCAGTACAAATCCAGAAATTCAGGTATGATGAATGACTGGTTCATCATTTTTCTGTCAACCTGTCAGATTTGTTGTGAGCTTCGAAACTCCATTTTCTCTTGTTCAGATCAAAAATGCTTTCTTCATTGAAGTTGTTCCTTATCATCTCTTTCATGACATATCAAAAAATTCAGAATGAACTAACGGTTAAATATTTCCAGATCTTCGAAACATCACAGCAGCTTCGAAATTTGCGGGAATCCGACTGTCATGTGTTTGGAGCCTTCAACACTTTAATTTCCGTCGCTCAAACAGAAACGATTCCTTCTTGAAAGTTGTTCATCTGTTCAATAACTATAGGGTGTCCAAAATTCAGCTCCACTGGAGAAGAGCAAAGGTTGCAGAAATTTGATAGATGAAAGGAGGCGGAAGAGGAAGAGAGGGAAAGAGGTTGCTTGGGTTGGATTTCTAGTTAAACTTGGGATTTTGGCTTGTTGTTTGATTTATTATAATGTGTTTGGAAACATATACATAATTGCTTGTTTGGTTATGACAGGGATGTTGTGGGTGTAGAACAAAACAAATGTTTGTGTTGACCTGTGTTTTTTTGTACAAGTTCAAGGGCATCTTGGGTTTTGTGAACAAAATTTGTTTATTTGGAGCAAGGTTTTGTGTTGAAGCTTTGTAGGTGAAGCTTTGGTGTTGAAGCTTTCTAGGTGAAGCTTTGATGGTGAAGCTTTGTAGATGAAGCTTTGTAGATGAAGCTTTCTAGGTGAAGCTTTGATGGTGAAAGTATGTAGAGGGAGCTTTCTAGGTGAAGCTTTTTTAGGTGAAGCTGTGTAGGTGAAGCTTTTTTAAGTGAAGCTTTTCGGGTGAAGTTTTTTGGATGAAGCTTTGTGGGTGAAGCTTTTTAGGTGAAGCTTTGTGGGTGAAGCTTTTTTAGGTGAAGCTGTTTGGGTGAAGTTTTTTTAAGTGAAGCTTTTCGGGTGAAGTTTTTTGGGTGAAGCTTTGTGGGTGAAGCTTTTTAGGTGAAGCTTTGTGGGTGAAGCTGTTTGGGTGAAGCTTTTTGGAGGTGAAGTTTTTTTTTTTTTTTTTTTTTTGGGTGAAGCTTTTTTAGGTGAAGCTTTTTGGGTGAAACTTTTTGGATGAAGCTTTTTGGGTGAAGTTTTGGAGGTGAAGCTTTTCGGGTGAAGCTTTTTGGATGAAGCTGTTTTTTTTTTTTTTTTTTTTTTTTTTTTTTTTGGCGCTTGACACGGTCTTCATTTGCTTGTTTTGTAGTGACTGTGGAAGACGGATTGCTTTCTGATTGAGAAGGGTTCCGGCATCGCTTTGCACCATCTTCATGTGGGTAATATAGGAACTTCCTTATGTTTTGATCATGCATGTAGTGATAGAATTTGTTTCTTCTTATTGTAGATGTCAGAGCCTGGAAGTTCTAGTGATGAGGGCTTTTCTAGCTTTAGCTCTAAGTCTGAGTCTGCAATGTCGGAGTCTTCAGGGTCTTTGTTAGAGTCCTGTACTAGAGAAACATTGGATGATCTTCCCAACCGTCAAACTTTAGCTATTGCTAGTTCTTCCTCCATGGCGTTGGGTGAGGGGGTTGTTTTTTATGCCATACCCATAGTTCGCTCTGAGTTCACAGCAGACCATCTAAAGAATAACTTGTTAAATAATGAGAAGCAGGTTGAGGCGCTAAGGCAGTCATGTAATATCCCTCGTAGTGTAGGGATACGTTTGGTACATGATGAAGAATGGCCTTCTGAGCCTCCCCAGGGTCATGTTATGTTCTACACCCAGATATTACTGACTTTAGGGGTGAGACTACCTTTACATCCGTGGTTGCAAAAGATGTTATCTTTGATCGGATATGCACCTGGGCAACTCAATCCTGGTTTCTGGGATACTTTGATTGGATTTTATATCATTTGGATGGAGTGTGGGTTGTGTGAGCCTTCCTTCCATCAGTGGCCTTACTGTTACAAGATGCGCCCAGCAAAATCATGCACTGGTTATGCCGAGTGTGCATGTCGGAGTGAGAGAGAGCGTATTGTGTATGGTAAGAAAAAGGCATACTACACATGGAAAAAACCGTTGGTGTGCTTTCTGTTATAATGATTGGGAGTATGATAAGGGTGTCACGCCTGAGCGACGTGTGCTTACTCACTTCCAGACTGTAGGTTGTAACGTATCAACCGTTCGTACTATTTGCTATTTGTTGTGGTCTTTTCTTGCTTCTAACACTTTGCTTCATGTAGTGACGCGGGGCACCATCCAACTGTTTGGGCAGGAGCTATCTGACATAGAGAAGGTGTTGAGGGTGCCCAAAGAGGATAGACACTTAAGCAAGCTACGACCCTTATTTCGTCGGTACGGTTTCCAACCCTTAGTTTCCGAGAGCCAGGGACGATCGAGTAAGTTGTATCCTTCATGTAAACTTAGCTCAATTCCTTACTTTATGTGGAAAGTTGTATTTCTTATTTTGATTTTCCTTATGCAGTGGAGAAGGTAAGCAAGAAAACAGGGACTAGCACCAATAAAAGGAAAGCACCAGTGTTAGTTCCTTCGGAAGACATCCTACCGCATAAGAAAATTCATAAGTTCCGAGGGGAACCATCCGTTAGACCTAAGTCCCACGATGGGGTCCTTAAGGGGCCTGCCTTTAGGAAGACTGGAGTCGAGCCGTTGAAAATGCTGCTGCCGTAGTTGCAGGAGAAGGGAGCCGACTGTTGCCTCCTCCTCTTACTATGGAGCACACTGTCCAGGAAAGTGATCCTGGTTCCCGCCATGAGGGGAAAGGCAAGGAAAGAGCTGGCAGTGTCCCATGGAAGGACTTGAGGGTTGCCACGCGGCCAAAGGATTTTGGGGATATCAACAATTGCTTGGCAGGGCGTCGATTCGCCTTCGATAAGCTCGGAGAGCCCTTAGCTAAGGATGAATCGGATTGCGACCGGATGTTGAAGCTGTCTTCATATGTGAGTGTTACTTTGTCATTTCCTTACTTTTTCCTCTTTATTATCATTATTTAGGTAGTGATGATCGTCTTGCCATGCAGGTCATGGCCAAGTATCACGACAGACTGCAAGAGGTTGAGCGGTACAAGGCAAAACTGAAGGAGAATAAGCAGCTTGTGGACGAGGCCCGAAGGAATAAGGGACTTTTGACTCAGGCTCTCCAACTGAAGGACGAAACCATGGAGAGCTTGAAAAGGTGAAATGGTGAGAACCTAAGGCTTAAGAAATTGTTTGAGGCAACTAAAAAACAGTTGGAGGTGGCTACCTTGGAGGTATCCAAGGTTAGGGGAGAATTGGATGGTGCCTTAGTTGAGATTTCTGAACTGGAGAAGAGCATTCCAACTGAAAGGGAGGCTGCTGTGCAAGAATACTTAAGTTCTTCGACCTTTCACCTTGCTATTAAACCCTACTGTGCTCAAGAAGCTCGCTTTGAAAAAAGGAAATGGATGGCCGTCCTTGATCGTTATGATGATGGGAGCATTCTTCGAAAATACCACGAAGATATAGATGAGCATCATCGAAAGGGCGAGACATTTGTCCTTGCTGTTGATCCTAGCAGCGAAGATGAGTCTGATAATGAAGGTAGTGCTGATGCACAGACTCAGCATGGTGAAGAGGATCTTGGGGATGCAGATGATGATGGTAGGACGCGGAGTGATACTGCCAGGGGTTCGGCTTCAGATGAGAATGAATAGCAGTGTCTTTACTATCTGCATGTATTCTGGATGTAGTAGTCTGATGTGTGTATAACATGTGCCCATGTTATAAGCTTGAGAGTTTTGGATTTTAGGTGTTTATGAGTGTTTGCACTATTATTAATGCATGTTTGGCTATGTATGAATAGATCTATTGTTTGGATATAAGCCCTTGTTTGGTTGTTCCTTTCTTTGTATAGTCTTGTCGACACATACTTAGATTTTGTTTCGTGTTGGATATATCTGCTTTGAGGTTTCAACACTTGAGTGTTCCATTGCTAGGAATGTAAAAGAGTGAGGGCTGAGTTGGCTAAATTACCTCTTTATTGAATTCATTGCCAAATGGCCTTCATTACATAGGATGCCGAACGGCTATAGCTCAACACTTGTACATCGTGAGTCTATTTGTAGTAGTACTTCAAGTGATCAGCGTTCCATGGATGGCCAAGGGTCTTGCCATCGGAGCTTCTAAGTGTGTAAGAGCCAGGGCAACTGATGCCAATGACTTCATACGGTCCATCCCAGTTTGGACTAAGTGTGCCTTCACTCGGGACTCTGTCGCAGAGTAATCTTTTCTTTAAGACCCAGTCTCCTATTTTGAAAGAACGAGGCTTGACCCTAGAGTCATAATAGTTGGAGATGCGCTGCTTGTAGGCGACATTCCTCAAGTGAGCTTGGTTTCTGTGTTCCTCGACTAAATCCAAGTTGAGGGTGAGTTGTTTGTCATTTTCACTTTGAATGTAGTTCTGGACTCGGAATGTTGCTTGCTCGAGCTCAACAGGGACAACCGCCTCTGTGCCAAAGGCAAGTGAGAATGGAGTTTCTCCTGTTGAAGTCCGATATGAAGTGCGATATGACCAAAGAACTTGGGGTACAAATTCTGGCCAACAGCCTTTAGCTTTGTCCAAGCTGGTTTTCAAAGTGCGCTTGATTATTTTGTTGATGGCCTCAACTTGTCCATTAGACTGGGGATGAGCTGGAGAGGCAAAGCATAAGTTGATGTTGAACTTAGAGCAGAACAACCTGAACTTCTTGTTGTCAAACTGTCGCCCATTGTCAGTGACTATCGCATTGGGAATGCCGAATCTACAAAGGATGTTCTTCCACACGAAGTCTTCTATCTTTGCCTCAGTAATGGTTGCCAAGGGTTCTACTTCGGCCCACTTTGTGAAGTAGTCCACTGCAACGACTGCGTAACAGACTTTGCCCTTCCCTGCCGGCATTGGGCCGATCAAATCAAGTCCCCACTGGGCGAAGGGCCAAGGGCTGATCATAGGAGTAAGAGGCTCTGGAGGGGAATGAGGAATAGTCGCATATCGTTGACATTTGTCACATGAGCGGGATACTTTGATGGCATCCTGGTGGAGTGTTGGCCAGTAATATCCTTGGCGAAAAGTCTTGTGTGCTAGGGACCGAGATCCAGCATGATCTCCACAGACTCCCTCATGTATTTCCCGAAGGACGATTTCCACCTCGGCAGGCGTAAGACACCTTAAGTATGGCAGGCTAAAACCTCGCTTATAGAGTTGATCATTGATGATCAGGTAGCGGGTAGACTTGTATCGAATTTGCTTAGCCTGGACTTTATCATTTGGGAGGGTGCCATGAGCAAGGAAATTATAGATCGGGGTGATCCAACTATCCCCCTGTTGTACGTTGCATACTTCTGCGGCCATGGTGCTTGGTGTTGCCAACAGTTCGACATGAATTTTTCTTCCAATCTTGTCTTCCACAGCTGAGGCGAGGCGAGCCAGGGCGTCTGCATGACTGTTTGCCGCTCGAGGAACTTGGGTGATCTGGTAGTGGAAGTGTTTGAGCAAAAGTTGTGTTTGCGCAAGATATGCTGCCATGGAGCTGTCCTTAGCATCAAAGTTGTTGGTAACCTGGTTGACCACTAATTGGGAGTCACTGAAAATATCAATTTGTTTAACCCCGAGGTGTTTGGCCAAACGTAATCCTGCTAGAAGGGCTTCATACTCGGCCTCATTGTTTGATGCCTTGAATTTGAAACGAAGAGCATACTCCATTGCTACTTTGTCGGGCGTAGTCAAGACTAGTCCCGCTCCACAGCCCTGTTGGTTGGATGAGCCATCAACATACAGACTCCATGCTGGGGTTGTTGGTTCTATCTTCTGAGCTTCTGATGGTAATGAAGCTACTGCTTCAGGTGTAGAAGCAATGTCAACAGGATATGTGAAGTCGGCGATGAAATCTGCTACTGCTTGACCTTTTTCGGCTGGTTTTGGTTGGTAGGAGATGTCAAACTCACCCAATGCTATCGCCCATTTGATCATTCGTCCAGACGTGTCAGGACTCTGGAGTATCTGTCAAAGAGGGTGATTGGTAAGCACGATGATGGCGTGTGCTTGGAAATAAGGGCGAAGTTTCCGAGCAGACATGACCAATGCTAGAGCTAATTTCTCAATGTTGGAGTATCGTGTCTCCGCATCTTGTAGGGCCTTGCTAGCGTAGTAGACGGGCCGTTCGACACCACTGTCCATTCGAATAAGAACAGAACTGACTGCTGAAACCGAAACCGATAGATAGATGATGAGAGTGTCACCAACTTCTGGTTTGGAGAGCAGAGGGGCTTTACTCATGTACTCTTTGAGGTTCCTGAATGCCTTGGCACATTCCTCCGTCCATGTAATGTACTTCTTATTTCCCTTGAGTGCTTTGAAGAAAGGAGCACATCTGTCTGTGGCCTTAGAGATGAATCTGGTTAAGGCTGCCACCTTGCCAGTAAGGCTTTGGATGTCTTTTGAAGTTATTGGCTCTTTCATGTCGAGGATTGCTTTGATCTTTTCAGGGTTAGCTTCAATGCCTCGTTGGCTAATCATGAAGCCTAAGAATTTGCCAGAGCCCACGCCGAAGGCACATTTGTTGGGGTTCAACCTCATTCGATACCTCTTTAGAATGGTGAAAGTTTCAGATAGGTTGGTGATGTGTTGGTCAGCATGTTTGCTTTTGACTAGCATATCATCAACGTAAACTTCCATGTTCTTCCCAATTTGTTCGGCGAACATTTGAATTGACCAGTCTCTGATAAGTTGCTCCTGCATTCTTTAGGCCGAAAGGCATGACTTTATAGCAATATAGTCCCCTGTCAGTAGTGAAGGCCGTGTGTTCTTGGTCTGAGGGGTTCATGAGGATTTGGTTGTATCCTGAATAAGCGTCCATAAAGCTCAAGAGCTCACACCCTGCCGTAGAGTCTATAAGCCTGTCAATAAGAGGAAGAGGGAAACTATCTTTCGGACACCCTTTGTTTAGGTCGGTGTAGTCAACACACATCCTCCACAAGACATTTTGAAGCGAAAGACTTTCTTTGGTCGGATTTTTCCTAACAAGGACCACATTTGCTACCCATGTCGGGTAATTGACTTCGCGGACAAAGCCTATGCCTTTGAGTTTTTCAACTTCTGCTTTCATTGCCTCGTATCGTTCAGCGTCATAAGATCTTCGCTTCTGTCTCACCGGCTTGATCTTGGGGTCAATACTCAAACGATGACAGATGACATCGGGAGAGATGCCTGGCATGTCCTCGTATGACCAGGCGAAGACTTCAGTGTTCTCTTTCAAAAAAGATATCAATGCTAACCGAAAGGGTGGTGACAATGTGGTGCCAATCTTCACCATGCGATCTGGATAATCTCTTGAGATAGGTACCTTCTCCAACTCTTCAGCAGGTTGGGCTTGCTGGGTGAAAGAGTCATCTCGAGGATCATCGGGTTGATTGTTGCTATCAGGAAGATCCAAGTTCGCTGCATCTAGGCTGGTCTTTGTGACTTGGTCATGTACAGACAGGGTTTCCTTGGGTCCGGGCAAGTGTTGTTGCTTAACTGAAGTGTTGTAACATGATCGTGCAGTAAGCTGATCTCCTCTGATGTAGCCGTTGCCATGGGGGGTTGGAAATTTCATCAACAGCATATGCGTGGATACCATAGCCTTGAGATCATTGATGCCTGTGCGCCCAAAGATGACATTGTATGCCGTTGGGCAGTCAACCACTAGGAAGTTAGTGGTAATGGTAGCCGTGTAAGGGCCTGTACCAATAGTAAAGGGTAAATGTATGCTCCCTAAGGGTTGCACGATATCACCGGAGAAGCTTATCAGAGGAGAAATCGAGCGATCGAGCAAGTGTTCAGCTACACTGAGTGCCCTGAAAGCTTCGGCAAACATGATATTGACCGAAGCCCCTGTGTCTACGAGGATTCGTCGAACATCAAAGTTGGCTATGTGAGCCTCCACGATCAATGGGTCGTTATGAGGGTAGATGATGCCTCTTTCTTCCTCAGGGTAGAAACATATCGGATCCCAGTTAGGCTTTTGATACTTCCCTCCCCTGATGTCTTCCACGTGAAACACTTGGTGACCAGGCCTCAGAATTCGTTCACTGTTTTTCATGGCCCTATTGGAAGATTCAGATATGGGTGTGCCGCCGCTTATGGAATATATGACATTCACCTGGCGTTGGTTACGGTTATCCCTTTGAGGGTGAAGGAGGAATTGATTAATTTTTCCTTCTCGTGCCAAAGCTTCAATACGATCACGGAGGATGATACATTTCTCGCTATCGTGGTCGTTATGCTCATGGTAGCAACAAAACATGCCCGCGTTATTCGGGGGCGTGTAATCTGGGTGCCTCGGCTTTGGCTTTGGTATCATGTGTGCTATGCTGGGGTAAATGGCCGCGCATGTGGCATTCAAGGGCATGTATGTCTCATACCTTGGGGTAGGGGGTGTCTTGACGCGGGTTTGACCCACTGCATTGACTGCCTGGGGGCGAGCGTTATTGTGGCGATACCCTTGGTTATCGGGATAGTGTCCCTTACTCTTTTTACTGAAAGGAGAGTGGTGAGGATGGAAATCCTTCCTCTTGCCTTGAAATTGATATGTCTGTTGATTCGGCGAAGCATTATGCAAGGCATGGGAAGGTGCCACTGCTGTTTGGAAAGTCGAGGTCTTCTCATTTAGGTGAGTCTGGCTTTCACCTCCCACTTGTTGATAAAGGATGGTTGTAGGGGGTTTCTCCTGATATGTCTTTGCCTCGGCGGAGGCATGGTTATAAGCCTGCGCCATCACCTCAGAGTAAGTCTTCCAAGTATTGGCATTGATCATGTATTTAAAGAAACAATCACGTAGGCCTGCCGTGAAGGCTTTGAGGGCAGTCTTGTCGTCTCTGCCTCGGCACACCGGGAGTATTCATGGCTGAAGCGGCCAGCATACATACGTAATGACTCGTCTGGCTTCTGGCGGATAGTGTACAGGTCATCTGCAGAGTGCAAGCGATCGGTTTGGAAAATGTGTTGGGAAACAAATAGTTTCCTCAATTCCTCAAATGAGTCTACCGTCTCAGGTGTAAGACGACAATACCAATTTAGAGCTCCGCCAGAGAGGGTGGAGGGGAAAGAGAAGACATCGCTCTTCGTCGGTGTGCATCCGGTATGCCATGGTGGACTCAAAGAGGTTAAGGTGCTCAATCGGGTCCTCTTTTCCAGTATAAAGTTGCAAGCCAAGCTTCTGCTTTGTCTTTGCTTGAAGGGGGGTGTTGAGGATCCTTCTTGTAAGAGGGCCAGGCCTGGGTTGGTTCCAGTCAGGTATTTCAGCCTGACGTTCAACCTTCAACTTGTTTACTTCCTCAAGAAGTTGTAGGACAAGGGGGTCCTGAGCGGAGTTATGTGCCACTGGAGCTTTCTTTCGTAAATCTCCATCTCCTCTTGGAATTAGGAAGGTTTGATCAAGGGCATGTGATTTTTCCCTGGACTCGCTGTACTGGCTTCCAGGGTATGTCTGTCGGAACACCTCTGAGTCCCCTGTACCCTCATGTCTCTCTAGGACTTGTTGCACCTTCCCCAAGTTGGTGGCCGGCTCGGGCCGTGGCAGGGGACCGAGTCTCTCAGAAATCCTTGGGTCATTGATCTTTGAGCTTATATGGATGGAATTCTCTCGACGTTGCTTCAGGAAATCCCGACAATCGCGAAAGACGGCTTTCGATCCTTCTGCCCCTTCAGCAAAGAGGTGTCTCCCTCCGCTTCTCATGGTTCGGGTCGAAGCAACTGGGTTAAGAGAAGCCTCATGTTGATTATCAAATCGAGGGGTAATTTGTTCCCTATCAGGGATATCTATGTCGAATGCATGTGACCCTCCATGTTGGAGGGCACCCAGTTGATGGTTGACTTCCACGGGGGCAACAAGCTCGCGTGTCTGAGCTTGCCTAGCTTCGTGAAGTGTCTCGAAGAGCTTCTCATATTGCTCCTGGAGGACCTCATTCCTCATTGCTATCTTGTTGTTCTGAGCTTCCAACTCATCGACTTTAGCTTGAAGAAGAACTCGTTTTCCTTCCTTCTTTTTCGTTGTTTCGCACTATGTGCAAGGGGGGTGTCATTCTGTGTGCTGTGGCTTCCTTCGCTTCCCATGCTGGAGAGGGGATGCCTGATCAAAAGAAAGTGTACGAATGATAGAAACCAGCTTGACACAGCTGAAGAGAGTAGGAATAAGTGTCGTTTCCCACACAGACGGCGCCAAATGTTGATGCACAAAATCAGCGAAGACTTTGGTACAACAGAAAGTGTCAGGTTTTGTGACCTTCGCTTGGTTGCTTCGGTCACTAGTGAGGATAAGTACGTAAATGAATAGAGACAGAGAAGCAAACACAGGATGTACGTGGTTCACCCAGATTGGCTACGTCCACGGAGTAGAGGAGTTCTTATTAGTAGTGAAGGGCTTACACAAGTACAAAGGATCAAACTCTCAATTTAGTGAGTTCTTGTGAATGATTTAACACAAATGGCATTAGGCAATATTGTGGGGGAATGACCCCTATTTATAGAAAAACTTGTAGCTTTGTCACATTGACATGTGTCATGTTATGATTGGTTCTTGATGTCGACACGTGCTGCGCTCTGATTGGCTTCTAATCTTGACACATGTCGAGTAGTGATTGGCCTCCTGGTCGGAGGGGAACTCTTCTGGGTCCTTGACAGTATAGCGTTGGCCGGTGCTCGGTAGTTTCGGGATTGGTCAAGTATGGTACAAACAAAACTCATGCGAAATTCTCTCATAAACTAGTCTAGCAAGGGTTGTCTTACCCATCCCGCCCATCCCCCATATCCCTATAAAGCGAACATCATTTGCACGAACAAATAAAAGCATATCTATATATTTCAATCTAAAATCAATTCCGACTAAGTTCTCTGTTGAACCTGAGAGTGTGTATGTAGGATGCACCTTTTTCCATATGGCTTCGACTACCTCTTTAATAAGCTCTGTTTCATACCTACAAGAAATTCAAGTAAATAAATAAACTAATCACCAAAGAAGGTAAAAGGAACACAACATCCGAGTATATATTGTTTATGTCAACTTTGCTTACCGATCGTTTGAAGTCCACCCTGCGAGATTACTCACGTTCGTTAAAGAAGCTCTCCACCGATCCACCAGCCGCATGTTTTCCTTATGCTCTTTTTCATGCTTTGTGAAAGCTTCAGCAAAAGTCCCCCTTTGATGTCGTACGTCAGAGGGATCAACATTGTAAAAGATTGGCAGAATTGTCCCCCTCTTTGTCATGCATTGGAAAATCATTGCGAGTTCACTTAAGCACCAAGTTGAAGAGGCATAGTTTGGCGAAAGAACAACAATAGCAAACTGAGATTCTCTGATTGCACTATGAAGCTCAGGAGAGATAAATGTCCCTCTTTCAAGTCCTTGGTCGTCCTTGAAAGTTTTGATTGCACGCCACTGTAATTTATCATAGAGATGGTCTGTGAAACCCTTTCGGGTGTCTTCACCCCTGAAACTTAAAAACACATCATATTTCCATCTGCGAGCTGTAGGAGCAGATGCGGAGGCGCTTCCATCGAGCAGCTCCCTTCGGGACCGGTCCCACCTCTCCATTCTTTCCTCCTCCAAGAAATTCATTGATGAGTTACTGACAACTTCTTTTTCGTTTTTCTTTAAACGAAGAAACACCAAAACAACCAACAAAAAAAACAGGAAGGTGGAGAGAGGCTAGCTTCGTGTTAGAGACAAGGGAACTTCCAGTTGGTCTAGGAGAGAAAGAGGCTCTTTTGACTTTTTTTAGTCAGATTGGACAGATTCAATGCTCCAAAGCACATCACATGCTGCCAATTATCTTTTCTTCTTTAATTTATTTATTTTTGTTGGATAGTTGACTTCGTTTGGTTGAACAGATTCATTGTTATCAATGAATAAAATCTGTGTACTCTTTAGCACTTAATTTGTTGAATACAAATTCTAACATTTTTACCATCAATCCAAGGATAAAACTAAAATGCAATAGGTTCACTGAGATTCCGAGATGGCCATCAGGGAAAGAATGATTCACTCCATAGGATCATAACATACGAAGTTACAAGAACAAAAGATTCCAAATGGATACAGAGACATGTCCCTTCTTTTAATCTTTTCCGGAGTGCTTCCTTCCTTGTCGAAGTTACCACTTCTGCTCGATCCTGCCTCGTTCCTGGATTCTTATGTTCACTTAACAGAGGCAGTTTGTATGTTTGCTGATACGTCAAAAATCACAATGTGGAATGTGCACAGCCTCATGAAGAGAATTGTTGTTGTTGGACAGGTTCATTGTTCTGTTGAGGTCTTCCACATCTTGCTCGTACACTGAACGGACTCCACATTTCTTCACCTTCAAACATTTCTTGTTTCCAACAGCACGTCTGGTTTTGAAACCAAACTTAATCTGAGAGTGTTTCTCCTCCAAAAAATTATAGTGCTGCCTAGACAAAAGGACTAACAAAAGGTGATCTGATACAACGTGGTCTAAACGATTATAAAAAGACACACCCTCAAACTGAGAACCAGGAATTTTCCATTGACAACAAATTTCATTTGCATAAGTTTGCAAATAATCTACTTCACGAACAACAGCTGGATTCTCGTGAGATACAAAAACAGCACATAAAGCAAACCCCATCCACTCGCTATTTCCAGCATGCAAAGGTAGCTTTTCAGTTAGTGAGTGTCCAACACTTTGATTAGTGAACCACTCAGGGATTTCACTTCCAGGAATTATAATACTAAACCGGTCAACAAAATGAGGGATTTCCTGTACGATTCAAATTAACCACTATATCACACAACTATGGAGGAAGATAAAGAGAGGCAGAGAGAGAGAGAGAGAGAGAATACCTGTAGGAATCGCTTTAGCATTGAATATATAATATTGTTCGAACCTTGATAACCAACTAGTCTCAAGCAATTGACAGAAGAGAAGACAAACCGGCGTAATCTGCACAGCTCTGGTGGACCTGGCAACATTTGTAAGGAAGTACAATTGTCCGTTTTTAAATATATTCTGTTGTTTAACGGAAGGTCTGGTAATTGTTGAAGCCTTTTGCAGTTGTTCAAGTTGAAAAAACTAAGCTTAGAAAGACAACCAATGCTTGTGGGAAGGCTAACAAAATTGTTTCCTCCAAGATTTAATTCTTTTAAAGAGGACAAACAGCCAATATCTTCGGGAAGGGCTCCGTCACAAAGGTTGCAGTCACTTAGATCTAGTTTCTTTAAAGAACGGAAATCTTTTAAAGAAGCTAACACCAGATTCACAGGGCTAAGACTGTTCCGTGGGAATAAGCCAGAAGGGAGGAATGAGAACCGTGGCTGAGGTGGTGGACCATTACATCCATGAAAGGATGATAGGTCGAGATTTTTCATAGGACCGATCGAGGAAAGTGGCTCTCTTATAGAAATTCCCGTTAAATCAAGTTCTTCTAAACTCTCAATCAAACCTTTAAATGATAAAGGCAGCTCCTCAACAGCAGTCCCACCTAAATAAAGCTTTGATACATTTTTCATCTGTCCACCGAATTCTGGAATCTTCTTAACTTTTGAGCAGCCAGAAAGATCAAATACTTCAAGAGTTTCCATCTTTACTTCATTTGGGAGAATCTTAATACTTTTGCAGTTTCTAAAATTCAAAATTCTGAGACATTTGAGAGATGCAATGGATGGATGAATCTCAACTAAATTTGTGCAGCCTTCAAGAACTAGCCTCTCAAGATTTTGAAGACCTGTGAAATCTGGAGTCCTTGTCAAGTTCTGCGAGTAGCTAAGATCGATAGATTTCAACTTTCTGAAGTACTGCACAAAACATGAAAAAGTTAGAAAATCAGATCACCGTCCAAAAAGCCTTGCAATGTATTCTAACCAAAAAGATGAAAAAATTGCTGAATGAATACTATTCTATGCATATATTTACCTTTATTCCATTCCAAAGGTAATCAATTTTGCTATGGGGCAAACTAAGTTCAGTCAGTTCATTTGGTTGAAAACCTGGCGGCAGAAATTTGGAGGGATACCAACTCCATTTGAGAAATCTCAAGGCATTAGGAAGATATTTGGGGCCAACAGAAAGTCTCAAATTATCAATGTCAAGCAACTTTAAATTACACATCTTAGAGAAGGCTTCAGGATTCCAGTGTGCCTCTTCAAATTCACGCAAGCGTAAGACAATGCCTTCAATTGCTTTTTTTCCCTAATAAACAGGAATGAAGGAAAAGTTAATTCCACAAGTCTCATAGTACTGTGTAACATTAAGGTTTTATACTGCTATCCAAACTTGATATTTACGAATAATTTCTTACCGTATTCTTTGTGAGCACATGAAATATGTCATCACGAAGCCACAAACGACTTCGCGCACCGGGCTCTTCAAAAGACTCACCTCGAACAATCTCCCATGCCATTTCTTGTATCAAATCGTGCATACAGACACTCTTGCCAGAAATAGTTAAGAGAGACTTCTCAACAAGAACATCTATCACAATACGAGCGCAAAATCCACAACTGTCTAGTACTTCAATTACTCGCTCTTTGTCAGACCACTTATGGAAACAAGCAATATCAAGGAAAATTCTCTTCTCCATCTCATCTAGTCCATCATAACTTATTTTTAGCATTTCAAAAACTGTTCTATTAGGAGTTTGCTTCAGTTTGTTCAATGCACTACTCCATGCATATGGATCTCTTTTATACAAAAAAGACCCCAAAGTTCTAAGAGCTAATGGAAGACCTCTAGCATACTTAACGAACTGCTTAGAGAGCTCCAAATATTTTTCCTGAGGCTCATCTTCTTTGAATGCTTTCCAATTAAAGAGCTGATAAGCTTCATCCTCATCTAATTCTACAACTTCATATTGTTTCTCTATGCCATGTGCGACCAGCAAATGTCTATCTCTAGTGGTCACGATGATTCTGCTCCCTAAACCGAACCAGTATTTTTCTCCAACCAACTTTTCTAGTTGGTTTAATTGGTCTACATCATCAAGAATGAGAAGAGCTTTTTTGTTACACAAAAAACTCTTTGCCATTGTAATCCCGCTATAAACATCCCAAACTTGTACGTCCTTCTCTTTCAAGATTTGTGAAAGCAGTTGCTTTTGTAGATGTACTAAACCATGTTTTGCATAAATTTCTCTGACGTTAGCAAGAAAGATGCTAACTTCAAAGTTATGAGAGAATTTTTCATAAACAAGTCTAGCAAGGGTTGTCTTACCAATCCCTCCCATCCCCCATATCCCTATAAAGCAAACATGATTTTCCGCTATATCCAAAAGGAAACATATTTCCTTTAATCTAAATTCAATTCCGACTAACATCTCCGAAGAATCTATCAGCGTCAATGTAGGATGAACTTTGTTCCACACTACTTCCACAATTTCTTTGATAAGTTCCGTTTCGTACCTGTAATCCTTTGACGTCCACCCTGCAAGATTAGCCACTTTTGTTAAAGCATCTCTCCAACCTTGCACCTTCTCTATGTCTTCCCTGAACTTCTCCTCATGTTTAAAGAAGGCCTCGGCGAAACTCCCCTTTTGATGCCGGACATCCGAGGGATCAACATCGTAAAAAACTGGCAGGATGGTCTCACTCTCGTCCATGGACTGAAGAATCTTTGTCAGTTCAACCAAGCACCATGTGGAAGCAGCATAGTTTGGCGAAATAACAACAATTGCAAATCGTGATTGTTGAATTGCCATAAGAAGCTCAGGATGAATACTAGTTCCTCTTTGAAGTTCTGGGTCGTCCCTGAAAGTTTTGATTGCACGCCACTTCAATTTATCGTAGAGATGGTCTGTGAAACCCTTGCGGGTATCTTCGCCCCTGAAACTCAAAAACACATCGTATTTCCATCGACAAGCTGACGGAGCAGATGCGGAGGCGCTTCCAACGGTCAACTCCTCCAAGCAGGTCATTAATGACAAGCAGTTTTTCACTTCTTTTTTCTTTTCTCAATCTCTAAACCAATCAAGAAAGAAAAATGAGAGAAGACGAGATAAATGGAGGTGAGAGTGAGATAATCTTGATAATCCTGACAAGTTGACAACTTACAGTTTTTTACGCGTTTCTTTCAATGAATTTCCTACTATCTTACCACCTGGGAATTACTTTGTCTCTCCTCCTGTTAGTGTGTAAATTGTGATCTGATGTGGCAGTTGGTTTCTAGCTCATATTGCTAAGATTGTGTGTATGCTTTCGTATTAAGTGTCATAGGTCTTAAACAAGTGAGTGTATATGTGTCTTCATCTCATAGGATGTAAGATGAATCGCTAGGATTGGTTGGATGTTATTTGAATACTGCCAAGTTTAAATTGTAATTGCAATTAAGAGGAGTGGGATTTTTTCCTCACTCACTCTCGGTGGAATGAAATAGTAAAATCATTTGCAGAGTCATATTCTCTGCATTCTTCATCTCTTTCTCTCATTGCATCATCTTCTTCATTGGTGTAAACAGTTTTTATTCCATAATACAGAACGTACCTGTGAGTCACAGCTCGCATGGAAGGTTAAAATTCGTTTTAACACTAACATCTTCCTATCTATTCAGTTTTGTACTGTTGCAGTTGCTAGTTGCTAGTTGCCACCAATTTGTTTCTTTCTATATTGTAAGTGCATGTTCAAGGAAATGAGGTATAAATTAAGACAAAGTTCGACATTGACAACCTTAGCTGACATTGACAACCTTAGTTGCCACCAATTCGAATTGAAATTTTGCATTGGTACTGGTATTGGAATTTTGCATTGGCTAGCATTGGAATTTTACACTAGTATTAATATTGGAATCTTGCATTGGCACTAGCATCTTGCACTTGCATTGCATCAATGGAATTTCGTATTGGAGTTGGCAATAGAAATTAGCATAACGGAGCTTGCATCCACATCTAGTGGCAAACTCATATCATGTACCGCCATGAGTGGGTGTGTTGGAAAATATTAGTCTTAGGTTTATTTTAATGTTTGGTCTTTTGGGCCTAACCCTTTACTATTAGAGTTTTGTTTCCGAGCCTATTAGGGTTATGCCAATTTTCTATATATATGACACCTTGTAACTCTATAGAAGAATAAGTTAGTCTTGAGTAGTTTCTTTGGGTTATGTAGCTGTCTCGGCATCTTGTTTATTTATTATATTCTTATTATTTTGTAGTTTTGTTCGTCGCACACTCTGATATTCAACTTATTCATGATCAGTTTTAAGTTTGACTAATAATGTCATTAACTCTGGATTTTGCAAGGTGAGACTTATTCGTCATTAGTTTTGAGTTTGTTTTTTTTTCCTTCTCCTACAACTTCAACATAATGGGATTCTATTGCTGGTGCCAAAACTCTAACGGAGCTTAGGCACAGTGTTCAACATGCATATTCCTTGAGTTTTGTTTTTAGTTTCAGTGCCACGAGATGGCTCGAGAGAAAGAGATAATAGGCACGCCACTGCTGGAGGTTGCCAACAAACAGTATTTGTGTTTGAATATGTACAAAGGCTGCATGTTAATATGACTTCTAAACCAAAATATTGTGCATTGAGTGGGGGACGCTGGTTCTATTAAGTTCTTTTTGTGCCTCGAACAAACGATGACTTAATATTCAATGTAGTGTATGTTTGCCTATAAAGTAAATAAAAATGAAATAGAAATTTAAACGAGAAACAGAATGTAATTATTTCTTGAAGGAGTCAAGTTACAAATGTTCACAAAAGTAAAATCTAGGCCGATGGGCTGAGCTACATAACTTGAAATGTAAAGTGATTGGAAATGTAAAGAAATCAGTAAAACTCTAACAAGATTCAAGTCATGAAGGGAAAAATAATGGTAGAAGAGTCCATTGAGACCACTGGTGTTAGATTGGACTTAGTGCACAACACACACCTCAAGGAAATCAGAGTAGTTGGAATTGCACATCAAACGAATTATACCACAAAGTGGCAAAGCGGTAAAATTTTAAGATCTCATGGATTGTATGCAATGTTTGCTTCAAAAGAAGGCTTTAAGGTTGTAGCTAAAGAGCTACGAGAGTTTTGCTAAAGAGCAATTGGGTGCTAAAAAGAAATTTGGTTGATTGAAGAATCATTCAAGGTATTGTGTAATCGTAGAGATTGAATTTGACGAATGTCCTCAACTTGAAAGTCCCTGGTTCTATTTATAGGCAATGGTGAAGGAGCAACCTCGATCATATCGCTAAGTTGAAACATGGGTAGATCGTTCATGTGGTGCTAACAATGACTGTAATTCCTGGTAGGTGGCCTTCAACTATGTCTTGAAGCAGTTAGACGATCGCGGTATTGACCTTAGCGTGTCAGATAACGCGTACGTATGCATTTAAGTGGACAAGATATTCCAGTCTTTGGTCGTTTGCCTCACAAACACGCTTCTGAGGGATTTCTGTCCAATGCCTCAGACAAGTTGGAGCGAAATGAAATGGTCGTCTGAACGTAGTTTTGATTTAGAAGTTGGTGGACCGAAGTCAAGGGCGAAACTACAGAGGGGCAAGGAGGGGCGGCCCCTCATCTCATCGAAAGTCAAGCTCAGAAGCGGTGGTTACCCCCTCTGGTCCCGTCGGAACTCGAAAGTGAGCAATCCCGTCTAGTTCTCTAGTTTTTAGTGCTATGCAGCAGAGCCCAGTGCTGCTATGTTTCTGTTTTCAATTTTTCAAACCCAGGCCAAACGACGTCGTTTTAGACAAAGGAATTGTTTTAAGTAGAAACTGATAGCAAGAGACCATGCTTTGTTTGTCATTTAGTAGCACGTGATTGTCGAAGTCTTATCATTCACATCCTTTCAGTGCTATGCAGCAGAGCCCAGTGCTGCTATGTTTCTGTTTTCAATTTTTCAAACCCAGGCCAAACGACGTCGTTTTAGACAAAGGAATTGTTTTAAGTAGAAACTGATAGCAAGAGATCATGCTTTGTTTGTCATTTAGTAGCACGTGATTGTCGAAATCTTATCATTCACATCCTTCTAGTCTTCTTTCTCGTGGGATTTTTTTAAAGATTTCAAGGCTGGAATTTTCCTAATAATTTCGATATGGAATAGGAGCTGATTTCAAGGCTTTGATTTTTCTTTTGAGTCGTAACTGATTTCATTCTAAACTTTTTTTTTATTTTTATGATTCTCTAACTCATGCTAGCATTTTAGAATCGAAACTGACAGTTAACCCAAGAGTAGAGAATTATGAAAGGTTTCAACTTTCAAGGCTTTGATTTTTCAAGGGCTTATGTTTGGCTCTGTTGTTCTCATCTCCTCCTCTGTTGAAGCTGAGACATACAAAGATAATAAGAAAGGTTAATTAATTATTAATTAGTGCATGCAGTCTTCTTTTCTTTATGTATGCTAGCTAGTTAAATATTAGTATAGGCTTTGGTAGATAGTGTTTTTTTTTTTAGGCACATTCTCTGCCCTCTCACTTCCTGTGCCCTCCTATTTGTGTGGTCACGGTTAAGCCACATCAACATTTTATATTACTATTCATTTTTGTTTTATTATCTCTATAAAAATAATAATATAAAATGTTGACGTGGCTTAACTGTGACCACACAAAACAGGAGGGCACGGGAAGTGGGAGGGTAGAGAATCTACCTCCTTTTTTTTTTCCTCAACCTATTATGTGTCTCAATTTTAAACAATTGCACATCATCAATATGGTTACACTTTTACATATTCGACTTATCTATGCACCCATTACATATGTATAATTGACCAAAGCACATGTATGTACTCGATTATTTTTTAACCTTGTACCCTTTTAAATCCACCCCTTCCCTCGCCAACTCCTAACTTCGCCACTGACCGAAGTTATGTAACTTTTCTGTAAATAAAAATAAATAATGCCCATAGCAGGCTTTATTTTCATTTATAACCCAAACATGTTTTATATTATGTACGGTCAATAATGTTTGACTAGTTTGCTGTAGTGTGAGACAGTGGCCTTCTTTTATTTTTCATTGATAACAATGAATCTGTTCAACTAAAAGAAGTGAACTTTCCCCAAAAAATAGAAAATAAATAAAAATTTTGGCTGCATGTGCAGCGTTGAATCTGTTTAATCTGACTGACAAAAGTCTTCTCTCCTATTTCAGTTTCACCTTACACACCAAAGACAAAATGGAATTTCCCTTGTTCTATTAACTCCTGCATTAATCTCTATTCTTTTGTTGATTGGTTTGGATTTTTCGCTTAAAAAAAATTAAAAAAAAAAAAGGAAGAAAGTGGAAAACTGCTTGTAGACTACAATGCATGTACACGGGAGAAGACCAACGTATCCCGTATCTGACACGCAGAGATACGGATACACAGGGTGATACATGCGGATACACGATCGATACGTATCCGAGTCAACAGACACGTTGTTGACTGATGGGATACGCGTACCTTACTGTTGAGATATGAGTATCCTACCTTTCGGATACGTTTTAACCCTAAACCCTAATGAACTTCTTGGGGGAGGAGAAGATGGAGGAGAGGTATTGGTTCCCTTTTCAAAGGAGGATAAATGTTCCTTCAGTTCGTCAATGGAAATATGATGTGTTTCTGAGTTTCAGGGGTGAAGGCATCCGCAAGGGTTTCACAGACCATCTCTATGATAAATTACAGTGGCGTGCAATCAAAACTTTCAAGGACGACCAAGGACTTGAAAGAGGGACATTTACATTTATCTCTCCTGAGCTTCATAGTGCAATCGAAGAATCTCAGTATGCTATCGTTGGAGAAGGATGCCTGGTCAAAAGAGAGTGTACGAATGGTGGAAACCAACTTAGCAAAGCTGAAGAGACTGAGAATAAGTGTTGTTCCCACATACGGCGCCAAATGTTGATGCATAAAATCGGAGGGGACTTTGGTATAATAGAAAGTGTTAAGTTTGTGACCTTCGCTAGATTGCTCCAGTCACTAGTATGGATAAGTATGTAAATGGATAGAGATAGGGAAACAAACACAAGATGTACGTGGTTCACCCATATTGGCTACGTCCACGAAGTAGAGGAGTTCTCATTAATTGTGAAGGGTTTACACAAGTACATAGGTTCAAGCTCTCCTTTAATGAGTACAAGTGAATGATTTAGTACAAATGACATTAGGAAATATTGTGAGAGAATGATCTCTATTTATAGAAGAGAGTTTCTAGTTTCATTCTGACATTGACACGTGTCGTGTTGTGATTGGCTTCTGATGTTATCACTTGTCGTGTTATGATTGGCTTCTGATGTCGACATGTGTCGTGTTGTGATTGGCCTCCTGGTTGGAAGGAAACTCTTCTGGGTCCTTGACGGTATAACATTGACCAGTGCTCAGTAGTTTCGGGATTAGTCAAGTATGGTACAAACAAATATAACGGCTAGCTGTTGCAGCTAGCCGTTGGGTTTTTTTTTTTTTTTAATTTAAACATTTCTTTTCTTCTATAAATATGGTGAAGTTCTTTCAATTCTTCACTTCATTTGCAATATTTCCTTCTTCAATATTTCCTTCAATATATTTCTCAATATTTCCTTCAATATATTTTCCAATATTTCCTTCATCTATAATATTTGTTTCAATTTTTCAATAATTTCCTTCAATATTTTTTCAATAATTTCCTTTGAATTTAAGTTGTAGTTTATAAATAATAAATTATGTTTGGCCCTCGGTTGGAAACGGTTTTTTGTGAAAGGGCTAAAACGAGCCATTTGGCCCTCGATTGGAGACGGAGGCAAATATGGTCATGTACTGTTCATTAAAATATTAATATCTTGGAGAATTTTGGAAGGCCAGAGGGCTAAAACGAGCCCTCTAGCCAGCCATCGGTTGGAGATGGCCTTACATCAAGAGATTAGTATTTTATGGAAGACAAAAGTTTTATTAAACCTTTTTTTACCCACTCACAACTTTCTATTTTATGCCCCTATGGCTGGATTTATGTGGCGAGTGAGGGTTCTCCAGCCAATCAATGTAGGAATTCTTATTCCTATAGTTTGTAGCATTATCCATTTTACCTAGGATGTGAATACTCACTTTTACTACACTTGCATTGTGCTCTGACATTACATACTCTATAATACGGGTTCATCCGCACTGCGCGCACTCTCACTATTAGTTTTAATTAGTATTAAACTTTGGTTTTAAATATTTATTCATACTTTTTAAACATAATTTATCATTTATAGCTTCGTTAATTTTCAGGCGTCGGTTAGCACGCTTCAATTTTCGGTATCCTCCTGGATATCCGGATAGGTGTTTACCACCTTGCTTCCTAAAATTGGCACGAGTTAGAGTTCATTATCAGTAGAAATTTAGGATAACAAATTACTATACTAGCAAACTACTCAAATTGCATGCAACCAAAACCTAACAAATAAATTATAATTTAGTTAAAGGCCTTACAATCCAAAATGAAATAAATTATTGTGTAAACAATTTATTCGTTTTCTGATTAGATGTTTCGGCTGATATTTTAGTAGAATCATTTTTATTTATTTTGCATGTCTTTTGGGTTGAGTAAGCGTATGGACTGAAAATTTTAATGGTTGGATTCTATGCATTTGGGCTTAAAATTGTCCATTTATTGATTTGTGTCCCTTTGGCCAATAATTAAATAATTGTGATATTTTAAGTAAGGATTGTTGTTTCCATGATGTTCTTAAGTAGCTTGTAATATAAGTTCTTAATTTATCTTCAAGGATGGAAAGTTAGTCCCAATAAGCAATTATAACCTAATCAAGTAGGATTATTCCAAGAAGGGAAATCTATTCAACACAAATCCCTTATGGGAAGAGTTTGGAATTTATTAAGAGTAATTTTAAAAGAATGGAAAGTTATTCAACCCAAATCCCTAATGGAAAAGAGTTTGGAAGTTATTGAGAAAGTAATTATGCAAGAGTGGAAAGCTATTCAAGGGAGATTTTTTATGGAATGCATATCTACACTAGGATGCTTCTAACCTAACATTCATTTCATGGAAGAAAAATTTAGATTTAGTCCCTCAATTTTTACTCTAGCCTGGAATTGGTTCCTCAATCAAAAGCTTGTCAATCAAGATCCCTGAAGTTAATAAAACTTGCAGCATTGATCCTTGCCGTTAACATGGATTTGAAAAACCACCCAATTGATCGAGGATTTACTTTTATAGGATAACTCTCGTGCTTAGTTTTGGTGTATGATGTTTTTTTTTTCTCCTTCTGTTATAGATTGGGTTGAAAGATCCGACAAGTTTTTATACCCAAACCCATTATTTGTATCTTGTACGATGTCTTTTTTTTTTTTTTTTTTTATCAATTTGATAAATATAACACATTTCTCTTAAAAGGATAGAGTTTAACTTACCGCTCAACAAATAGTGTTAATTAAAGGATTATGCATTGCTCACTTCACGTGGTTACATTCAATTATTTGTATCTTGTACGATGTCTCTATTTATCAATTTGATGAATGTAACACATTTATCTTAAAATGTAGTTTTTTGTTGCATTCAAATGTTAGTATGTAACTCAACAAATATTGCACACGTAAACGTAGTTACATTTATTATAACAGATGTAGTTTTTCTGCGTCTAAGACTCTAAATTCTTCTTTCATGAAATTTAAATTAGTTTGAAGTAGAATATAGTTAATTTATTATCAAGAGAGCACTCCTTTGCCTAATGAGAATAATAATGGTAAAAAAAAATAAAAATAAATCACACAAAAAAAGTTACAAATATTTGCAGTTCAAGTACACAACTTCAACTTCTTTCTCAACCTACACCACAGGCATCGCGTTTGTGATATAAATACAACTAAAATGGCCCCCCTTCTCTCCACTTGCTACTCACTCACTACTCAGCAGCTGCAGCTTCTCCAGGTCCACCCTACCACCCAAAACCAAAACCAAAACCAAAAGCACTTTTCTCACTTTTACCAACCTTCTCCCTTCTCCTCCTTTGCTTTCAACAACCTTAACTCCGGCCACCGCCCTCCGCCACCACTCGCCACCTCAAACCGAAAAAAAGGACCAAAAGACAAAAAAATGGATTCCAACAACATCAACAACTTCGGCGCTGCTTCCAGACCGTCCCCGACATCATCGACTGACATGGAGCAGATGTCGGAGACCCCTCAGCGCGGGTCCCACCACCGCCGGGCCCACTCCGACACCTCCTTCCGCATCCCCAACTTCGACGACCTCCTCCTCTTCGACCCTTCCGACCTCGACCTCTCCTGCCTCCCCTCCCCAACCCTCCTGCCACGTGGCGGCAACAGCAGCAACAACAACATCCCCATGTCCCTCGACTCCGACGACTCCTCGGAGGGCCAACCACCCAACCCCTTCTCCTCCACCCCCAAGCCTGCCGCTTCCTCCGGCTCCACGGCCACCGCTGCCCACCTCCGGAGCCTCTCCGTCGATTCCGACTTCTTCGACGGCCTGGGCCTGGGGGATTCCGGCAGGGAAGTGAGCGGGGGGCAGAGGTCTGGGTCCCACCACAGGCACAGCAGCTCGATGGACGGCTCGTCTTTCGATGCGGACTCGTCGGTGATGACGCTGAACGGCTTCAAGAAGTCCGTTGCTCCTGAGAGACTTGCTGAGCTCTCTCTGATTGACCCTAAGAGAGCCAAAAGGTTGCCCCTTTTCCTCTACTGGATCATGTTTTTGCTTTCTGCTGTTTTTTTTAGGGTTTTTTACTCTTCAAATTTCGATCAAATTGCTTGCAATTGAATTATTTTGTAATTATCGTAAATAAATTGGTATTTCTATTCTCCAAATTTTTTTGTTAGAAATTACATTTGCTTAAATTTTGTGGTTGAAGTTTGTGTTGGGAAAGGAAAGATTTTTCAAGTTTTATTTTTATTTGTGTGTGTTTGTAGAATTTTTGGGCTATTTTTGTGGATATTATTTAATTAAATGAGAAATTGATGCTTTATAATTATTTGGTTTTGTAGGATATTAGCTAATAGGCAATCGGCTGCGAGGTCAAAGGAGAGGAAGGTGAGGTATACGAATGAGCTGGAGAGGAAGGTGCAGACGCTTCAGACGGAAGCAACCACCCTCTCAGCACAGGTCACTCTGTTACAGGTATAATGCCTAAGACCTTGACTTTTGTAGCTTTGTAGTATGAGAAGTATCATTTGGGCAAGACTTTTTCGGTACTACATGCTAAAACAATGGATCCCACAGCTTGGCTTGTTATGAAACGGATATTTTACGCATGGTCGTTGCAAAAATGGTATTTTCTGCTTTGCTATTTTTGCCATGAAGTTATTTTCATTGTTTATTTGTGTCTGGTTTGGTTTGGGTGCATGGTTGATTTGATAATGTTTTGGTGTGATTTTGGAATGATCCAGGATACAAAAATGTGCCGTTCTTGTTTTTAGAATGTGATTTGTTTAAGTGATAGTTTAACTTTGATCAATCCTTATTTTGGTATGATTTTGAACTTACATTGACAACCCAAGAAGGAAAGGTACACTGTGCACTTTAATAATGTGTGATCATTGAGTTTCAGTGGTGGTAAGTTGCTTATGTTAAAATCTACGTCATTGCATGCTGCCATGTAATTATCTTTCCAATAAACCCTAAGCTTGACATGCTTAATCCTAACATGCAAAGAAACTTATTTTTTAATCATGTGTTCATGGTGCGAATAATCACCTACAAGAACCACCATTACATGCTAACTATTTGCGTATGCCGTTGCTGCGGTTGTTAATTTTTTTGTGTTTTCTCTCTTTTTGGGTGTCTGCTTCTGATTGCATTATATTTTGGTGTATCCAAAATGGAACCGGCTACATATTTAGAAGGATGTAAATAGGGAGACATTATTAAGGGAAAACGGTGTTATAACCTACAACAAGTACTTTACTTTAAAGTTTAAACCAGGATTCACTTTTCTGTTGAAGGATGTTAAACATCTTTAGTTACCGGAAACCTGAGTTCTTGTGGTTCATTAGTCAAGTTGGGAATAAGGTTAGTGCATTGGCCTGTTCTCTCTGCAAGTCTTTTCAACTAGTGAGCTGTATCCAACTCATATCCAGACCTAACAGGCCTCTATATTAGATGATGCAGGCTTCCTTGGTAGGTTTCTTAAATGATTCAAAGCTTAATATTAGAACGTAGGTTCCAGGAACATAAGAAACTTTGTCACCAATGGCATGGTATTGAACCATGAATGCAGTAATAGATGCATACTAGCCGAGGAGACTTGAAAAGTCATAAGTTACAATCACACTTGAGCCCTCGTAGATGTCTTGGGATGTTTTTCTTAATTTGTTTGAATGGGAAGAAAGCAAACAAGTTTGCCACAGTTCAACAGCATTTTAAGGGTCGTTGTCTGGTTTTGGACCCTTGCTTTATGGCAGAGTTTAAAACTAAGCAGTTTTTAAAGGGACTTTGTTGTGTGACCTTGTAACACACAGCAAGTTTGTATAGCACATAGTTCAGGTAATTCAGATGTCTTCAGTTTAGGATTTTTGTCGGAGTGTCAGATCCGATATCAAAGTGATTTTTTTTTTCTTTTTCCCTAAATACAGGTGAATGTTTTTAGTTTAACACCTAACAATATCTCGGCATCCTTATTGGTCGATTTAGCAGGGAGAAAGGGTACTAACCAAGATGGTCAAATTTGACATTTTCTTGAATTATGTATTCTTCAACAAATTAGCCATTGCCACCATGGTTCCTGAAGATGCAGTAAATGATATGCGTGTTTGTGCGGCTGTCTAAATGATGGAAATTTGTATCTGTTATTGCTCAGTTTTCCATGTGTAGAAAAGTAGGTAATCTTGCATTTTACGTCGTCTCTATTATTTAGTATTTACATGTGCTGTATTCTTTGGTTACGGGAACTATTCATATCTACTTTGATTTGCAAACACTTTGGACGTGCCACATGACTGCATATTTCATGTCTCTGCCCTTTAATAATTGGTTGGTTGTTAATGTTAGATGTTCAATGTTTCTGGTAATAGCCTCTTATTGTATTCCTACTTCAGCTCTTGTTTCTGTAAATAGTCATAGTCATAAGTGATTTGATTTCTTCACGAGCTTTAGTAGTTTACCTGTACAACCTTAAAACCAGAGTTTTTCATGTTGTGTCTTCCCAAATTATTATGTTAGTTGGATGTTGGAGTCGACACAAAAAATTAACTAGAAAGGTAAATAAAGCAAAGGTTACAATCACAATACAAAACGTTCTTGTTGTGCTTATACAACTTATCTATTGTGCAGAGAGACACTACTGTCATAACTGCTGAGAATAAGGAGCTCAAACTTCGCCTACAGGCTCTGGAGCAACAAGCACAGCTTAGAGATGGTATAAATTTCATTTCATAAGATTGTGCTAAATTTTAACCATCAGTTCTTTTAAAATTATGTTATAGTTTCCGTTTGCTTTATTTTACACCTACAGCTTTGAATGAGAAACTTAAGGAGGAAGTGCAGCGGCTTAAGATTGAAACCAACCAAATCCCACCCGGGGCTGGGAATGGAAACCCTTTCTACCGAGGGCTTCCCCCTCAATATGGTCAGACCCAGCACCACCAGAACCACAACCAGCAGAACCAGCACCAGCAGCATCACAACCAGAATGTCACCAATGGGCAGGCTCACCCGAGCTTTATGGACTTCAACGGGAGGGCATAGAAACTCTCGAAGAAGTCATTAACCACAGTTTAGGTATTTCATAATGTTTTTTTGAATTAGAAGAGGGTAGTAAATCTCATCAGATAGCTTCTTGTACAGACTACATACATACAGGTAATGTATATGTATGTGGTACAGGACTGAAGGCTGTGAAGATTGCTGCTCACCAGTACACACAGAACCCCACAGTACCCTGTATCAGTTAATTAAAAACTACAGATCTACTCTTATGTTATTATTTCTAGCGGATTAGAATATCATCTTAGAGTCCAAAACTTACCGGATCACCTTTTTACCGTCGTTGTACTTATCGAACAAGCAACCTCCAGGGTTTAAACGGTTGGCTATGCATTGCTTATAAGTTTATAACACCAAATGTTGTGTTGGTCCCCTTTGCTAAGCAATTCCAATCTGTCTTCCGTCTGTTATGGTTGATTCTGAAATTGTTTATTGATTTTATTTTCTTCTCTTTTTTTGTGGTTTTTCACATTTCCACTTTTTAAGGTTGTCATCACTGCAAGATATGCTTACAAGTGGCGAGTCTTATCTCATTTCGTCGCCTCTTTAGAAAACATTTCTTGTACATGGGGTGCCACGGTTGCCGTATCCAAGCCTACTACATTATGACGTATAATTCGTTTGGATACCGCCACTGTCATATCCCGGGTCGGGATGGAACAAAAACACCTTATTTATGGAGCAATCCTTCTCTTCGCCCGGGTGGACTGCCTCCGAGAGTGGCGGTGGGATCGAAGGGTGGGGCGGGTGGGCCATAAACGCCGATGGAGGGTTTTGGGTTTGGTTGTATTGCTGGCAGAGTCTTGACTGTCGGACCTGAGAATTTCTCCATGTATGAGTGGAGGGTAGAAAATAAGGGCAATTTGTTGTGTGATAAAAGGATAACAATAATTGTGCTTCTTGTCAAAGAAAGAAATTATTTGGTGTTAGTTGATGGCTAAGGAATGATTTGTGTCGTTATCATATGTACTAAGTCCATTAATAATGATGGAGAAGGAGAAATATCACATGCAAGTTAGGTAAGGGTACCTTCTTCTATATTTCATTAACAAAATTCCAATTATATAACTTAGTATATTGTATAATGTACGCAAATTACTAGACAAGAAAACAATTATTACTATTATTATATACAAAAATCATATGTAGATTAGTCACTCATTATGTTATCGTATATAATATAGTACTAGTTATGTTCCTCTCAACCGAGGTTCTAGATTTGATTTCTTTCCACACACTATCCTTTGCATAACTTAAAATAAAAAGCAAGTGGTGAATTGCTCTAGTGGTTAAAATGCCGCTTATATTGACAAAAATTTTGCACAATAAATAGAGACTAGATAATATGTAATATGCATGTGATATGGTTCCGAAGGAATGAATTGGATATGGACAGTTCCAATAAGATTTCTTTCTTGAACAAAAATTCATTTTTTTTTATTTATTTCATCCTCTATAATGAGATATACCATAAGTTGATTCAAGTAATCTTTCTCGATAAAGTCGGTTGATTGAGATAAAGTTTTATCCCTTAGAAACCGTACATGCACCTTTTGATGCATACGGTTTCAACAAAAATCACGAAAAATAAAAAGAATCAATGTGTAGATGTAGATTCTAGCACTTTCTTTTATTTATTTATTTTTCATACATAAAGGATAAATGCACTCTTAGGAATCCTAAAAATGATTGTACTGATTGTATCATGCAAATTCTTTTAAATGCAAAATTAAAATAATTCTTTTGTGGTGGAACAAAATATCTCTCATTTCCCCTTCGAATAAATTCTTCATTTTTGTTTCCAAAGGAATGTTGTTATGTTATTTTGAACGGTGCACTAATTCTTTAAATCTGGTGACATTTTACCACAGTGTCAAAAAATAATCATGCTCATGCACATTTTTGCAAGTTCAATCCTTTTAAGCCATGGTGCGAGCTAAGAGTATTTAAACCTAGCTCCATCAGTTTAGGTAACCAACCATGCAGTTTGTTACCAGTTGGATTTGGGTTGAGTTCAATTAAGGATTTTTCACAGTAGTGCCCCATAAAATAACAATTTAATCCCTCAAATTTTAAAGACACCGGGGCTGGTTTTATTTATTTTATTTATTTATTTTGGTGAACTGAAAATCGTATTACCAGGGCAAAAATGAGCTTAAAAATGAGAAATCAATTTCTTTCTCGTATTTAGTAAGTAAAAGAAAAGATATGTAATAAATACTAATTAGTGTTGGAAAAAGGGGGAAATTCAATATACCTGCAATAACATCACATTCAAAAAAAATTTCCTGGAAATTTATCATATCAAGAATTGAAAATATCAATTTTGAAATATTATGTCCAAGTTTCTTTCTCAATTTTGTCACATAATCTAATGGGACCTCAATATTATCCTCGTTCTCAATGTGGTTTCTAATGTCAGCATTGTACTGAACTTTGTCAAAATTGATAAGGTGTGTGACATGTTACCAATTTTTTTTTTTTCAAACGCACATCATTGTTGATGTGGTCCTGCCATTTTAAAATCTCAATGCTCACGCAAAAACTTGCAAAATTGACATTAGTGGCCATCTATCAACTTTTCTGCACAATGGAGCGGAATGTGTAGTACAAGAAACGAGGATGGCATGAAGCGATTTTGAGATTGGAAGACCAAATTAACAAGTTTTGCATAGTTCAACATTATTTTTACGATCATTCTGGTTTGCTTGTGTTTTACGGATTGGTAGTGATTCTCACATTCTCACTCTTTTCTTTTGCACCTCATCATATTTTTGCTCAATCATTCCTTTTTACTTTATTAAATTTTACATGTGATTTAATATTCTAATGAATAGGACGTTGAATTTTTACTAATATGTTTCGAATTCAAAGCAACTCCTCTAAATTATTGTTATGGGCCATATTTTAATTGTTTTGTGCAGTTCTTTTGGGCTTCTAGGAAATCATCTTCGAATCCCCAAAAAGATTATAATTTTCTTCAAAAAATTTTTTTTTGAAGTTCTCAATATAAAATAAGAACAGTTTTGAATCCTAAACATTTCTTACCGTTTTTCATCTCTCAATTTGTTACGGGCCATATTTTACTTGAATTGTGCAGTTCTTTGGGCTTCTAGGAAAATCATCTTCAAATCACCAAAATGATTATAATTTCTTCAATTTTTTTTTTTAATTTCTCAAAATAAAATAAGAAAAGTTTTGAATCCTAAACATTTCCGTTTAATTCTACCTGCAATCAATTAGCGTTCGGCGATGAAGCTTCTCCGTTCAAATCCATGCCGTGGCACTGCCATTTCTAGGGTTTTTGGTTCCCTGAACTACTCAACCAATACTCTGGCCTCCTCCTCCACCACATCTCCCACATTTCAGTCTCTGCACCATAGGATTCTGTTCTATAAAGGCCCGAGGGTTTCCGTTCTCCCTGTACTCCATCAATGGCTGAAAGAAGGGAGAGACGTGGAGCAGTCAGAGCTCCGAGATTTCATCATTAAACTCCGTCGGTCCCGCTGCTACAACCTCGCCCTGGAGATCTCAGAGTGGATGGGCGACGAAATGAATTTCGATTTGCACCCTGGAGACATTGCGATTCGGCTGGATTTGATCTCGAGAGTCCACGGAAACAAACGAGCTGAGAGGTATTTCGATTGCATTCCCAATGAATTAAGTGTATGTTTCTCTCTTGTTATCCTATGTAGAGCATAAATGTTTGGAAAAAGCCGAAGCTCTTTTCGAAAAGATGAAGGATTTGGAGTTTGTGAAAGGGCCATTTACTTATAATGTAATGATGAATCTGTATACTGAGGTGGGAAAATATGGAAAGGTTGATATCTTAGTGAACGAGATGGAGGAGAAGGGCATTGAGATATTAGGACGTTGAACAACCGGCTGCATTCGTATGCAGCCACTTCGGATGTAGGCCGAATGGAGAAGCTTTTGATGAAGATGGAAGCTGATCCGACGGTTATTGTGGACTGGCATGCTTATGCTGTTGCAGCAGACGCTTTCTTGAAGGCTGGAGAATTGGAGAAGACATCGGCATTGCTGAGGAAATCGGAGCGACTCATTACAAGTAAAACAAGAAAGTCTGGTTACGAATTTTTGATGACTTCACATGCTGCTGTTGGTAATAAGCACGAGGTTGATCGAATTTGGGAATTGTACAAAGATGTCGTAGGATTCTACAATAGTGGGTATCGCTGTATGATAAGTTCGTTGGTGAAATTGGATGACATTGAAGGTGCTGAAAAAATTGTGGAGGAATGGGAATGTGGAAACAAACTATTCGACATTCAAACACCCAACTTGTTGATCAATGCTTACTGCAAGAAAGGTCTTTTGGAGAAGGCCAGATCATACGCAGAGAAGTTTTCAGAGGGTGGGAAGGAGGATTGTAGAACTTGGGGCATATTGGCTACTGGATATCATATGAATGGTCAGATGGCAGAGGCAGTGGAAACATTGAAAACGGCAGCAAGCTTGGCATGTCGACCAGGGTGGAAGTTTGATCGTTCAACTGTGTCTGCATGCTTTGATTACTTGAGAGAGAAGGGGGATGTGGAAGCAGCACATGAATTGTTGAGATTATTCAGAGAAATGGGTCATCTTCCAACAGATTTGTTTGATAAAATTGGAAGTTATATTGATGGTGGTGAACCTCCTATGGAAAGGATTGATAAAGTTCAGGATCGCGGGATGGATTCGACAGTTTAGCTCAACAATGTGGTAGCAGCCAAATATGTGTTACGTCTGAAGGGTAGTGTGTCTTGTTTTGGTGGTGTCGCGGCTGCACTGTGTGAGGGCTACCAGCTGCAGATTATGCTCTAGCTATTGTGAGTAAGCTTAAAAGTTGTGCTTCTATATCTGCTTTCGTGGTTTCACTTTATGCATTGACAGTTTTGTGTTTATTACCTTCCATATGCACTTAACGTAAATGTTTCGTAGTTCTGTTTTGCACTGGCAGTAATGTTTATTGATGCGAAAATAGGAGCACGAAATTCACACGAGCCTCTTATATTACTTAAGGATTGTATTCGATTCCTTATGACCTAACAAGGCGCAGCTTGCTTACTTCTCGAGCGATAGTTTTATGATCCCGACAAGAGTTTTTGAGGAAGTTATGCCAGAGTGTCGAAGAGCCTCACACCGAGAAGGCCGATGGATAATAAGATAGAGCTGGAACCGGAGGTTTCATTTTGCCACTGTATTTTGTTCAACCTTTACAACAGTCACGTAACCAGCGTATGACGATGTAACTTGCATGAGTTTTGAAGCGTTGGAAACTCATTCTTGAAATTTCAATTAATTAAAAGAAATTTGATGATTCATTGTGATGTTGTAACTTGTTATTATGACAGCGGATTTTTTTTTAGAGATGATAACAAAAAATATAATCAGTTCTAATTATGATATTTACAATTTTGCACGATAAAGTAAAGTGACAAATAGAAGGCAAGTGGCTTATAGCTCAATTTATTAAGCATATTCACTTTTAAAATCGAGGTCTTCTGTTTGAATCCCCCCCCCCCTCTGTAGTTTAATATAGATATTTTATTGTTTGTAAAAGGAAAAGTGACAAGTAGAGGGAAAAAGAAAATGAGGAAGTATTATCTTAAAAAAATAAAAGGCTTATTTTTTGTTATGGCACTTGTACCCTTCACCAAATCTCACTTTACTTCTTCCTCTTTATTTTGTCTCATTTTACCACCTACACTCTTCTTTCGTGTCCCACTCTACCTACTTCACTTTATATTGTCTCACTTTAACACATGTACTCTTTATCAATATCTCAGTTTACCCTATGTCGTCGTATAAGTTAAGACAATTGTTCATTGTGCTTATATGGAATGGACAATTTAGTCTTTTCAACCATGTTGGTTTTGTGGCATGTGACATGGCATGTTACTGTAACTCATGGGTATGGGAGGTGAGTTAAATTCAAACTAGGATTTGATTCCTCCATATTAAAAGAAAAAACATATATAAGAAAAGAAGGTTGAATTTCAAGATTCACGAATTAATTTCAATGTTTTCGAATCCTTTTGCAAAGATTCTTAGGGTTCTATTATGAGAATGTCTACCTTTATCGCTTTCCTCTTCTTTATTTTTTATTAGTTCGGAGAAATCACATACTGGTGTGAGTTTAACCCACATCCTTGCAATCATGGGTCTTACTAACACAGTTGAAATTACTAAATTATTCATGCCACATTAGCATAATTAACGGCTATTTTTAACTAATTTGAAGAAATAGGGTAAAGTGAGACATTGAGAAAGAATAGAGGTGTTAAAGTGAGACAATATAGAGTGTAGGAGGTAAAGTGGAACATGGAGGAAGAGTGTACACAGTAAAGTGAGTAAATATGAGACTTGTTTGGAACTATTTTTAAAATGATTGAAAGTAATTTTGGTGGAAATGTTTTTTAAACCAGTCCATAGAAAAAATCTAAATAAATCATGAAAAAACACTCTAAGTGCTTTCCGCAAGAAGCACATATTTGGTGCCTTCCGCAAGAAGCATTTCCAAAAGGCATTTGCACATATTTGATGTTTCTTCCAAAAAGCATTTAAAGTGCTTTTGAAACCCAAAATTAGTTTCATCAAAAACGCTTTTGGTCTTTTTGAAGGCATTTTCAAACAAGCCAATAGAGTAAAGGAGATAAAGTAAAATTTGGTGAAAAATAAGTGTCATGGAAAAAAAAAAAAAAAAAAAGAAGCCAAAATTAGAAATCAAAAGCGCATTTTCTCTCGTGTGTTCTTTGTGAATGGGCTGCCAATATATTATGGATCACTTTACTTTGTTCCATTTTTTGGGCTCCAATGAAAATTCCTTCAGAACTAAAAGAAGAAAATGGAAAGAAATTCAAAACCCTAAACCCTAAATTATCGTTCAAGTTCACTCCCCTCGAACAAAAAAGCGTCGAACCCCAAAATTTATCTACGGTTCTCTGTGAAATTAATTAGGGTTGAAAGATGAAGCTTATTGGTTCGAATCCATGGCGTGGCAATGCCATTTCTAGGGTTTTCGGCACGCTATTCAACTCAACTGAGGCTCTGGCCACCGCTTCCGCCTCCGTCTTTGCCTCCGCACCACACCCATTTGTGCCTCTGCGCCGTAGGATTTTGCGGTCCGGAAACCCTAGGGTTTCCATTCTGCCGGTGCTCCATCAGTGGCTGGAAGAAGGGAGAAACGTTGAGCGATCAGAACTCCAAGATTTCATCAAGCAGCTCCGAAAATTCCGTCGCTACACCCAAGCCCTGCAGATTTCAGAGTGGATGAGCGATGAGCTGAACCATGATCTGCATCCCGGAGACATTGCAATTCGGTTGGAGTTGATTTCGAAGGTCCGCGGCCTCGAAGAAGCGGAGAAGTATTTCTATAGCATCCCGGAGTTATTGAGAGTGGTTCAGGTGTGTGGTGCTCTCTTGTCCTGCTATGCAGAGCATAATTGCTTGGAAAAGGCCGAGGCTCTTTTCGAAAAGATGAAGCATTCGGGTATAAGAGGGCCATTGCCGTATAATACAATGCTGACACTTTATTCTCGAATGGGTAAACATGGAATGGTAGATATTCTAGTTAAAGACATGGAAAAGAGAGGCGTTGATTATAACATTCACACGTTGAACATTCGGTTATTTTCTTATGCCGCCACTTCTGATATCAATCGAATGGAGAAGCTTTTGATGAAGATGGAAGCTGATCCTCTGGTGTCTGTCGACTGGCATGGTTATGTTAGTGCAGCCGAAGCATTCTTGAAGGTTGGACTATTGGAGAAGACATCGACATTGCTGTGGAGAGCAGAGCAACGCATCAACATTAAAACGAGGAAAATTGCATATGAATACCTGATGACTTCATATGCTGCTATAGGTAATAAGGATGAGGTTTATCGAATTTGGGGATTGTACAAAAGTATTGTAGGATTCTACAATAATGGGTATCGGTGTATGTTAAGTTCGTTGATGAAGATGGATGACTTTGATGGTGCCGAGAAGATTCTGGAGGAATGGGAATCAGGGAACCAATCCTTTGACATCCAAATACCAAACTTGCTGATCAATGCTTACTGCGGGAAAGGTCTGTTGGAGAAGGCCAAATCATGGGCAAACAAGCTTTCAGATGGAGGAAAGGAGGATTGTAGAACATGGTCCCTTTTGGCTACTGGATACTGTACGAATGGTCAGATGGCAGAGGCAGTGGAATCATTGAAAACGGCAGCAAACATGGCATGTCAACCAGGGTGGAAGTTCCATAATTTAACTTTGGCTGCATGTTTTGAGTACTTGAAAGAGAAGGGAGATGTGGAAGTGGCACATAAGATATTGGGGTTATTGAGAGAAAGGGGTCATCTTCCAACAGATTTGTGTGATAGGGTTGAAAATTATATTGATGGTGGTGACCTCGCTGTTCTGGAGTAAGGTGAAGGGGGATATCGTATGGAACGAATTCATAAAGTTCAGGATGGAGGGATGCATGCAATAGACGGACAGTACAAGTCAACGACAAGGGTGGAAGACAAATATTTATCTAACATTGTGAAGAGGTATTTATCTGTAGTATAGCATCTTTTTACAATGGTTTTATCATCTTCTTAATGCTCCAGATGACTCTGTAATTGGTAGCTTCAAATTACACATTTTCTTGAGAAAAGTGACATAAAGAACGACAGGTTATCAGGGCATCGTTTATGATGTTAGATTGAAATCTACCACTGCAATATCTTGAAAAACAATGTGGAGATCTCATTTTTGGAAAAAAAAAAAAAAAAAACACAAATGCAAAAGCTGAAAAAACTTGGTAGTAAGAGTCTTATTTGCTAACAATGGCTAAGTTCTGTTTCTTGTTTGTGTGGTTCGGGGCTGCTGTTGTTTTTGCTGCATGTATATCTGGTTGTTGCTTTTGCCAACAGATTGAAATTGGTCAATTCTCCTTATTTATGGGTGTGCTTTTCCATGGATGTCAAGAATCCGTAGATCTCCTGTTCTTTGAGTGCTCTTATGCGATGCTCAAATATGGTGGTGTAGGAAATTCTGTGTCATGTCTCAGCTTGTTTCTTTGTATGCTTTTTCTTAGTCGCACAATCTTTGATACTATGTTTGGTGTTCTGTTCGTTATATTTGGAAAGATAGAAACTGCATACTATGCTTCTGCAGTTTATGCTCTATTCAACCTTCAACCCCCAATATTACCCTTGCTCCTGGTTGTTATATCAGCCCATGATAGTCTCTTCTTATTTGGTTTCACTTTACATTTTGATAGTGTACTGCAGTTAAAATCTTAACTCCGCCTGTGTAAGTTTATCTTACATTGCCGGTCCCAAGCCCGGATAAAAGAGGAGGGGGAGGGCGTCAGGTAGTCGACAGCCGGCACTCCTAGATTACGTCGAATCCTTGGGATGCGATCATACCAGCTCACATGCACCGGATCCCATCCGAACTCCGAAGTTAAACGAGTTTGGGCGAGAATAGTACTAGGATGGGTGACCGCCTGGGAAGTCCTCGTGTTGCATCCCCCACAGCCGACCCCACTTGGTGGGAAAAGGCTTTGTTGTGTTGTTACTGCAGTTAAAATCTTGGTAGGTGCTAGTTACAACTTACATGCGATAGCAAAAGCGATGATTTTGGCAGTCCAAAATCACCCTTAAACCACGTGTTAAACCAGGAAGTGATGTTTAGACTTCCGAAAGTTTCAGTCTCACACATGCAGAGTAGAGGTTTATTTTTTCCCGATATGTTAATTTTTATGTTTTAATTGACTAAACAAGCTGACAACTTAGTCACATTTTTCACATGATGTTCACAAAAATATCTTTAGTAAAAATTCATTAAACCTTTGTGAAAGTGCTCTTCTTTTTACCAGCTGAACAAGTAGAAAGAACTTCAAGATCTTTTCCAATTTAATCATTATGTACAACTGTGAACACTTCAACATTAAAATGTATAAGATACTTAGATGCTGCGTTTTATACTAACAACGGATGTGGAAGGCATACACAGCCATGGAAATTGAAAAGTGGAAAGGTTATGCAGGTGCAGTAGGTTTTTTGGCAATGGTTACCGTACAGATGGTCAGACAGGAGAGGAATCAATGAAAAAGGCAGCCAACTTTACATGTGAACCCTGCTGGAAGTTGAATAATTTTTCTTCTTTGGCTGCATTTCTGGAGTACTTGAAAGAGAAGGGAGATATGAAAGTGATACAAAAGATTTTGACGATTATTGAGCAAAAGGGTCATTTACCAACATCTTTGTGCAGTAGTTTGTAAAATAATAGACGGTGGTGAACCGCAGGTTCTTGGGTTCTTGAGAAGGTGAAGGGGCTAATTATGTGGAAGGTATTCACAAATTTGGGATGAAGAGAAGCAAGTCGCAGGCAGCAGCTAAAAAGATATGTAAGTCTGTGAAAGGTACTTTGTTCTATCTAAATGCTTTAGCTTCAGTAAGTACATGGTTAGCAAAATGCTATACAGCACAGACCAGGGCATGGTTTGTAAATTTGCGGTGTGTTAGTAAATTTGGAAATTGTTTAGCCACTTGATTACCATCACAATGATATCATTTTTATATAATGCATGCATTGCGTGAATAACTTTGGAGTAACCTATGTGTCTGACATGCGTAAGAACTCTCTCAATTGGGAATTTGGGAAAGTAGTCTATGTCGTTTGGTATATAGTAATTGGATCTGCTGCTGCTGCTGTTTTTTTGCTTAGTGTCCTTATTCTTTTAGTTTTCCTCTTTTTTGAAGGTAACCTTTTAGTTTTACTCTTTCACTACCCACAATCTAAGGAATGTCAAAGGATGAATTGACGTAGTGTGATGGACTGATGGGGGCCGTAAGATCTGAAATGAGCGGTCAAGATTACTCGATCCTTTGGCTTCGGATTGCCGGATCTCGATTCATCAAAGCATATATATCCAAGTCATTTTTCTTATATAATATAGAACATAGGTGGCAGTGACCAGGTACAGCACTTACCTTGTGTACAAATCTCAAAAGGACAAGAAAGTGGGGGAAAGAAGAATGAACGTAGAAGTATCAGTGGGAATCTATCATGGCTTATTGTGACCGGCATTCTACTTCTTTTGGCTTTGTTTGGTAGGTAGGATAAGTGTTAAATCAATCCGATATTTGGTACTCAAAAGTGAAGAGAATTTGTGTTTACCTAGGAAAACTAATCCATTCAAAACAATTGAGATAACTTGTAGTTGGTGAACAGGTTTCGGCTCAGTGGCTCAATGTGCGGGACTGGACATACGCCCTAGACGTAGACTAGAACCCTGATCGCCGAGTCAAGGCCCAGGAATCCCAACTCTTTAGGTCGCGACGCAGTAACATAGACGCCTAGGACCCAGACCATGGAACTCGACTATTAGAGATCTTAGGGTTGAGCTTGACTGGGGTCAAGAACTTGGAGGTTCAGGACTCGAACAGGGAACTTGGACACCTGAGACACAGACTGGAACTTCCGGGGCTCGGTACCTAGCCTAGAGAACTTGACACTTGTAGACTTGGACTAGGGACATCGAAATCAAAAGACCTGGTTAGAGAACTATTGATGTCGGGGAACTGAATGGAGACATCGGTCCAACTCAGAAACTCCGACACGTAGTGAAATGGGCACAAGACCTAGATCGGGAGCTTGATTCGTGACCCGACGCAAGTTAACCGGATATGTTGCTCGACACCAAGACTTGTGATTTAATTGAACCATTGGATTAGTTTTTTTTTTAAATTATTCAACCATTGGATTAGTGCTATGCTCTCCAATCCGATGCAATCCAATTTCTAAGCCCCATATTAACATATCCGATGGTTGTCACCGAGAACAGACTCTTTATTTTTGAGTCGTTAATCTATTATGTCTAAATTAATATGCAAATTAAATTACTAATCAAACATGACAGCAAATCAATTGCCTCAGTGGAGGTTCCACTATAAAATCAATTGCCAATTTTTCGTTCTTCATTACCTCAGTGAAGGTTTTACCGTAAAATCAATTGGCGAATTTTTAAGCCTAACATGTAGACAACACAAGTTGGGTGACGTAGAGCACGTGTGACCGTTAGACTTCACATGCATGACAACTTACTCTAGTACCATGAAGGAAATTGAGATTCACCATAAAATCAAAGGAAAACTGACGAAAAGTTCAAAAAAAACTTTTGTTTTAACAAAAAATGACAAATAAAAGTGTAGTGAATAGTACCAGGAAAAGGTAAAATGTGGTTTTTCGTTAAAAGTGAACAATACCGAGAGTGTTTTGTTAAAACTCCCTAAAATCAATTGTCAATATGAAAAGTAGCCAAATTACTCATAAGCACAAGTAAGATTCCTTCTTTCTCAGATGTGGGATTCATACTCTCAACACACTCTTTCACGAGTGATATATTTCAAACCTAACACGTAGACAACACAAATTGTGTACCGTGGAGCATGTGCAGCCGTTGAGCTTCACACGTGGGACAATCTGCTCTAATGTCATGAAGAAAGTTGAGGTTTCACTATAAAACCAATTGGCAATATGAGAAGTAGCCCAATTACTCATAACGCATGCAAAGTCATTTCTTTCTCCGATGCGAAATTTATACTCTTAATGCTGAACCAAAATACAAGTGCTAATATACAATAATTGTCTTAATAAAATATGGAGATTTTGTAAGAATAATACATATAAGCTAGCAAGGGCCGGCATTGTAATTTTCACTATCACTCACAAATGAAGACAAATTAAACTTCCGATTCTTTTTATGTCCCATTGTCACGGATTAGTGATTAAATTAAGAAATAGATTAGCACGAAGCCTGATTAAAAAAATAATAATCAGCCTACTATAGAAAAATAGAAGAACAAGAAGAAAAACAATGGCCTCCCCAAAGTACCAATTAAGGAAGAAACAAAAACGCTAAAACAAGAGCTCATCAAACATCTAACGTTTACTTAATTGCTGGCGCTAATTACAAGTAATGGGAGCCATGTTAAAGTATCCTTCATTGCAAAATATGATTTAAGAGTGTAATTAGAGTCAAAAGACAGACGATCATCTGATAATCTTTCGATTAGCCAAAACTTGCAATGGCGCTCTTCATCTTGATCATCCTGGCATTGCTGTCCATTTTTGTTTTTTCTGCTTTTTTCGTGCTGCAATCTTGGACCTCGTCACCGAAAAGCATGGAGGATATCCCGGGCAGCTTGGGTTGGCCTATTGTGGGAGAGAGCTTCTCATTTATTTCGGAGTTTTCAAGTCCATCTGGTATATACAGCTTCATGAACAAGAGGCAGCAGAGGTAAATCGATTACATTTTTTGAATTCTGTAACGAGAAAATGAATTTCCGAAAGGGAAGTGATTTTCACTCTCTTTGCTTCCTTGGGAATCAAGGGACAGAAACAAGGAGAGAATTCAAAAGGAGAAAACACGAGTGTGAAAATCACTTGCTCTTTCCAAAATATCCGAAAGAAATCTATATGTGATATTTCAGTAAGTACTAAGCTTGGTTTTTATGTAGGTATGGAAAAGTTTTCAAGAGTTTTGTGTTGGGGAGATTTACAGTGTTCATGACTGGGAGGGAAGCCAGTAAGATTTTGTTAGCAGGAAGAGATGGGATGGTTAGCTTAAACCTATTCTACACCGGGCAGCAGGTGCTAGGGCCTACCAGCTTGCTCCAAACAACCGGCGAAGAACACAAGCGCCTTAGGCGGTTGATTGCAGAGCCCCTATCGGTTGATGGCCTCAAAAAATATTTCCAGTTCATCAATACTCTGGCAATTGAAACACTAGAACAGTGGCCTGGACGAACTGTACTGGTTCTTGAAGAGGCTTCTACAGTTCAGTATCGAGTTACCAAGTGAACAAGCAAAATTTTCTTTTCTACACTCTTGACTTCAGGCCCGATTGATAATCATTTCATCTTTTATGTTTTTGCAGTTCACTCTCAAAGTGATTGGCAACATGATCATGAGTCTGGAGCCTGCTGGTGAGGAGCAGGAGCAATTTCGGTCAAATTTTAAACTCATCTCTTCCTCCTTTGCATCCTTGCCATTTAAGATCCCTGGGACAGCGTTCCATAGCGGCATTCAGGTATCAGTTCTTATGTAGTTTTTTACAACTTGTAACTGTCAAAGATGGAAGGAAATTTTTGGATTCATCTCGAATACATTGTTCTCTTTTATCAGGCACGGGATAGGATGTATGCGATGTTAGACTCGACCATTTCTAAAAGAAGAAGTGGAAGAGGTGGCTTTCAGCAAGATTTTTTAGAATCGCTGATTATGAAACATAGCAAAGGAGAAGGGGATGAAGATAATAAAGATAAACTCACTGATCAACAACTGAAGGACAACATATTAACTCTGCTGGTTGCAGGCCATGATACTACAACTGCTGGGCTCACATGGCTTATTAAATTCCTCGGAGAAAATCCTACTGTTCTGGAACAACTAAGGGTAATGTATCTTTGCCATCTAGGCATCGTTTGATTGATATTTGATTTCCGCCGAAGACTAAAAACTAAATGTTGTCAAATTTGCAGGATGAGCACAAAAAAATCGAAGCAAACCGAGACAGTGGAGCAAATCTAACATGGGATGAAGTTAACAACATGCCTTACACTGCGAAAGTAATCAGCGAAACTCTTCGGAGAGCTACTATTTTGCCTTGGTATTCAAGAAAAGCTGCCCAGAATTTCGAGATTGATGGTACAACACTTTGACTCCAAAAAACCAGATTACAAAAGCAGCCATATTGTTCTCTATACAAGTTTGAATATGTGGCTCTAAATCATGAATCCACATTACAGGATACAAAATAGAGAAAGGCTGGTCTGTCAATTTGGACGTCGTCTCCATTCACCATGACCCAGAAGTCTTCCCCAATCCTCAAAAGTTTGATCCCTCGCGGTTTGATGTAAGTCCGTCCCCATATAACCAATCAGTAGTTGATATAGATAACTTCCTGAAACTATTACATTGCTAAATAATTTTTGAACAAAATGCAGCAACCCCTGAAGCCTTTTAGCTTTCTTGGATTCGGTAGTGGACAGCGTATGTGCCCCGGACTCAACCTGGCAAAGCTTGAAATCTCAGTGTTCATTCATCATCTGGTGTGCAGATACAAGTAAGAAGCACAAATTTTTTTGAGGACTGCTAAACCCACCCGTTGTCTTATTTCACCACCCACATTATATTTACACCCACTATAAAAAGTTAAAAAATTAAAATGTTATTTTCCCACCCACTATTATTCCTAAAATAACCCTATATATAATTAGAGATAAATTTCTTTAAAAAAAATAAATAAATAAACAAACCTTCTAAAAATAGGAAAAAAAGAAAAGAAAAAAAAAACCATGTTTCCTTCCAAATTCCAATTTGAGTGTCCTTTTCGAGATGCATACCAATTTGAGTGTCATTTCCAAATTTCTTTAAAAAAAATAAATAAATAAACAAACCTTCTAAAAATAGGAAAAAAAGAAAAGAAAAAAAAAACCATGTTTCCTTCCAAATTCCAATTTGAGTGTCCTTTTCGAGATGCATACCAATTTGAGTGTCATTTCCAAATTTTCCCTAACCTAATTAAAACAATTCCAACGAATTCTAGGAATTCTCATAGGAAAACATGAAACAAATTGTACCCTAACCTAATGCAAATTCAAATAAAAAGTCACAAAGCTATGCTTCAATTATTCATGTTGACAAATCAAGATGGTCCACATAAAATTATCTTTTACCTGTTCGACAGAAACATAGTCATCTACTTGTTCCATAGAAATGTCATCTTCTAAATTCATTCTTTTTGCTTTCTCTGAATGAAAGGGGATGAAAAGGATGAGTTAGGGTTTATGGGAGACAAATTTTCTAAACTTTTCTTTTTTTATAAAAAAAAAATTAATGCAAAAAGGAGTAAGTAAGGTCCCTATTAGTCATTTTACAAATGGATAAATTTGTAATTAAAAAATTCATAAAAAGGTGGGTGGGGAAATAAGACATCAGGATGGGAATATCACCACTCATTTTTTTTTTATATCTAATTAGTAAGATGCATAGGATAACAATATATTTATCCAATGCAGGTGGAGTCCTCTGGAGAAGGATGATTCAGTCCAGCCAACACTTGTAAGGATGCCAAAAAACAAGTATCCAATTGTAGCTGAGCGACTTTAAAACGTGGATCCCAAGGCACCGATTACAATAGTAATCGTTATATTAGTCCTAGCTAGCTGTGTTATGCAATAATGCCTCAAATTTTCAATATCCAGAAGCTGTTCTGGTTGATTAGTTCATCCATTTCAAATATTTTCCTTTTGGCTTTTAAATGGTGCACGGCATGAGCCGGGTAATGTTGTATCACGTTAGAATGTGAGCATACAATCCGAAATAAATTTGTAATGGGTAGAGAGGCCCAAGACCTTTCAAAGACTGATGCAAGGTTTCATTTTCACTTGTTACGTCACTCGAGCCAAATACGTAGACAATACATTGAGTAATATGGAGGCACATTAGGCCATTGGGCGCAACACTAGAATAATCTGATATGCTACAAGTACTGTACAAAAATACTACATAAAATGGTAAAATTATGTCCTCCTGACGCCAAAACAGACTGCACATCTCCACCAATGAAATGAGACTCTTGACGAACAATTTTCCCTTCCCATATCTTGCATCAAATCATGCATCTCGGCGTAGTTGTAATTGGTATTAGTTAAAAAAGATTTCTCAACCAGAGCATCTACCAGGTTACGAGCGTCGAAAAAATAGCACCCTAGTATTTCAACCACTCGCTCCCTGTACTCTTCCTTAAAGAAACATGCAATGTCAAGGAAAACTCTCTTCTCCATCTCAGTCAGTCCATCATAACATGTATTCCGGCTTTTATAATACATAAAGGAACCCAAAATTAAAGAGCTAACGGATGACCAAGGCAATACTTGACGAAAAGTTTAGATAGTTCCAAGTAATCTTCTTCAAGTTCCATCGTTTTTGAAGGCTTTTTTGATAAGACAGATACAGTGATATCGCGGATCTTTGTTCTCAGATCAAATGTAGAATGTCAACATCATGTCTGATGAGCAGTTGTTGACCTCTAGTTTTAATGACGATTTTACTCCCCGAACCAAACCTGCCTTTGTTTCTAGCCAACATTTCTTGTTGGATTGATTCACTCACATCATCGAGAACGAGAAAAACCTTCTTCCAGTGAAAAAATTTCTTTATCATATCGGTTCCTTGATCATCATCATAAACTTCATAATTCCGCTTCAAGATTGGGGAGAGAAGTGGCTTCTGCACATAAAAGAGCCCGTTTGTTTTAGTAACATATCTAACATTCGGAAGAAAGCTTGTCGACGACCTTAGCAATGGTAGTCTCTGTGGGCAATTTTCCTTATAAGCTCGACTTCACTCATATCCTTGAGAGTCCGCCCGACAAAATTTGCCAATTTGTTAAAGCATCTCTCCAAAGTTATACTTTTGTTAGGTCTTCTTTAAACCTTTCTTCATGCTTGTTGAGGGCTTCCTCAAAACTTGATAATTGCCTTCGGATATCGGGAGGATCCAGGCCATAAAAAAACTGGTAAAATTGTGTTTCCGGCTTCCATGCATTCAAGAATCTTTCAAATTTCATCCAAGCACCAAGTGGAAGCAGCATAATTTGGCAAAAAATGACAGTCATCCTCGATTCTTCGATTGCACTCAAGAGCTTTTTCGAAATGGTGATTCCTCTTTCGGGTTCATGGTCTGTCTTTGAAGACATTAAATGATTGCCAGTCCAATTTGTGGTATAAACGCTGTACGAAACCCTCGTGGTGTCTTCACCCCTAAAACTTAAAAAGACATCGTATTTCCTTGAAGCTATTGGAAGTGGGATCAGCGCAGCGCCCCACTGCAAAGGCAAACGCAAACACTGATGCAGCAGTCTCAGCCTTTTGTTTCTTACCATAAGATTTGATGCTGCAAGATAATCTGTCAAACCCAAGTAAAGAACATGAAACCAATCTGTAGCCAGCTTGAAGAACTATATGCAACGTGTAGCAGAGGAAAGATGCCAAAGTTCTTTTTAGTGCCTTAAAAAGTGGTTTCACAACAAAAAGCACTTGCTTAACGCGTCAAGTAACTGTTGAATAACATAAAAAGCAATGCCCTGATACAGGGATTTCATTTTCATATCCGCTATGACTAGTAAAGCGTTCTACGAGCCAGGGGAGGAACCCCTTTGAAACAAAACACTACAATCTACAAGATCCAGAAGTTCAATCAAAACTACAATACAATAGCTCAATGCAAAGACTTTAATCACTTGTGCTGCCTGCAGGAACAATTCTCAGTTCCTACATCAGCTGCAAGACATGGAGGCTGAACATTCTCGTCGTACCAAGTTGAGCGCTTTTCAACTAGTTCATTTAAGAAATTGTCCAACTTTTCGATACTGACACTCGGCATCACCACAACATGTGCAATATTTCCTTGGCAAGCCAACTGCCACTTACGAACAAACTCTTCATCCTTAGGCCGCTCAAACACCACTGTGCTACTTAGCTCATTCAGCATAGCACTGATTCTAGCATCACGGAGGCGGCCCTTCAAGTAGTGAGCATTTCTAAGACACTTCTGAACTTCTTTTTGGAACCCTGTGTAACCCTTTTTGTTAAGCGTGTACCATAAGAAAATAGGAGCATGACCGTTTCGGCTTCCCATGATTGTCGCATCCCTCGAAGCTAGGTATTCTACATTCCTTGAAAGGGCATTAATGTGCTCCAGCCTAGTTATCTGAACACCACAAGGCATTGGACATCCCACCAACTTGTGACCAGAAACGCTGACACTTCCAATGGGCTTCTTGAACGAAACTTTTGGTGCCTGCTCATCACCAAGCATATGAGAAACGGGAAGCATTGATCCAGAACAGAAAATATGCGCATATCATAATGAGGAAGCAAAAGAAAATATTACTACAGCTATATCAGACTAGCTTTTTGAATACAAGCGGACTCTAATCTCATCATACACTAACCGAGTTGGAAACAAACTTATAAAAACAATCATCTTCGAAGTCATAAGACGATTCAGTAAAAGTAGACTGCAAACATTAATTAATCCTATCCAATCAAAGATATCAGTGTCAATCAACTAGCCAAACCATGAAAAAGGATTATAAACTGTCAAGATCAACTATTAGAGCCAAATCAAGGCTCTCATTCCCAATTGCTGAGAGCAGATCAATCGGATGAGCAGGCTTTCACGAGCATAAATTATTAGCAACCAAAACATCCCCAACAAAAATTGCAATGTACGAAACACCAAACAGTTTGGAACCAAAGGAATTAATGGGAATAAGGCATAAGAGACATGTTCCTATCTACAACAACAACAACAAGAGTTGAAATGAGATGACATACAAGTTTGACAAAGGGCATCATAAGTCCAAATAATGCTCCATCGCAATGGATGTAGAAACGATCTTGCTTGAAGCCACATTCTTCAAGGGTCTTTATGACAAGATCCAAGTCGTCAACAGCTCCTTTGACAGTTGTTCCTGCACATCAAGCAACCCAATAAATCAACCAACAAACAAACCAGAGTCACAAATGTGCGCGCATATATACGGTTGAGTTCAATTTGTGTCAATGTGTGTCTCAACTCTTACACATACCTATATTAACGTTGATGATGGCCGGTTTATCCTGGTGAGCAAGAAGTTTAGTTTTAAAATCCGCACAATCAATCTCACCAGAGATCAGACAATCAATCTTTTCGCATTCCATTCTATACATTCTGGCCGCTTTAAATATTGAATAATGCGATTCTCGAGAGGCATACAGAATTCCAACTGGAAATACTTCTCTCCTGCAAGAATTCAATTGCATTGTACATCACATCCAACTGCTTTAGCCTTGTCATTAGATTAGTGTGCAAATAAATTAAGAGCAGATTCACACAAACAATTAATTAAACACTTAACATACCCAACTAAGACTCCATGAAGATTGCCTTCCGTGCCGCAATTGGTGATATACCCCCAATACTCATTCTTCTCAATCTCCCACAACCGAGCAAACCAATCGAGAACACCGACCTCGAACTGCCTCGAATGCACACCATAGTTGCTCTCGATAAACGGATCACCCAAATTGTTGATGGAGAAATGCTGAAGCTGCGCCAGAGCACCATAGTCGAAGTCCAAATTGTACGGATAACCTGCATTTCCAATCCCAACCAAAACCCACCATTCAGATTCAAGACTTTCGCTTTCATTTAAAAATTTAATCGAAAAATCGCACAAACGAAGCTTACCGAGATGGTGCTTGGTCCTCTCGACGAGGGTTTTGCGGTAGCGAGCGAGGACGCTGGCCATGTAGGCGTCCTTATCGCCCGTGAACTCGTCGTTGGGTTCAGGCTCCGTCACGGCGAGGCAAGTGGTGTGCACGTTCCGGCCGAGCACCATCTGTTTCTCCCGGGTGCCTTTGTGGTCCTCAGCCAATTTTCCAATGAGATCGCAGTCGGCGGTGCTGGTTAAGACCGGAGGCAGAGGCTCCGTAACCACAGCCGTCGGATCGAAATCCTTGGATAACATCTCCACCGCCACAACTCCATTTTCGTGATCCATGCAACCTCTAATTCTGAAAGATTGAACGGTCGAGAGTTGGAGGAGCCGAAACACCAGAAGAGGGGGAGGAGAGTTTGGAAAGAGGGAGGGAGGGAAGAGCGTCGGTTTCTGTTTAGTATTTATAGCCGTTATTGGCGGTTGTGCTTTGTAATAAATATCGAGGAATTTTAGAGAATCTGTTGTATAATATTTTGCCACGTATGAAATAATCAGTCTACGTACTCTTTAAAGTAATTGGCACACGCGTCCTAGTTTTCTAATTAGCAAAAACAAGAGGGACTTGGATCCTCTCCTGAGGCCAAGGAAAGGATGCTCCTGACCAAAGAACTTGAACCGTTAGATAAAAATTTAACGGTTACAAATAGAGAATCATTTTAAAGTTATAATAATTATAACCGTTGAATTTTCATACAACTACTACAAACATAGGGTTCCTTTAAAGTTATAATAATTATAGCAGTTGGATTTTCATCCAACGACTCAAATCCTTTTGTCAGGAGGATCCTCTCCTTGGGCTCAGGAGAGGATCTAAGTCCCTCTTATATTTGCTAATTAGAAAACTAGGACGCGTGTGCCAATTAGTTTATTAAAAAATTGTAGCAACAATAACTCAATTCTAATCCAATTTGAGCAATATTCTCTTAACTAAAAATTCATTCCTTAACTTATCAAAACATGCAGTTATAGTTTTTTTCATCAACTCCGTCAAAATGATTTAGGTTGGAATAACTATTGCTATAATTGGGTTAAAGTAGAGGAAAAATTTCTCCAATTAGGTTAAAATTAAGGAACTATAGCTATAATTTTTTTTTTCATTTGGTTTTCTATATTTGTCCCTTGATT